GCACCTTCGGACATGATCTCAGGAGCCCATATAAATCTCAAACGCGACCAGAGGCTAACGGTCATCTCTCGGTCTATTTCCTTGCCGTCATGGTCGAAGACAGCCGGGCGCCGTTCTACGCACCATATACCCGCAACCAGGGCCAGAAGAGTAGGCAGCTGCACTCCGGTCAGGATAGTGGTGGCGCTAATTCTACTCACGTCGGAGACATTTTCGCCAGCGAGAACGGAAAAGGCAATAGCCCCAATCATAAGGATTGTTGGCTGCTTCCATAGCACGCTGTCGAATTTCGCAACTGGGTGTGTCTGGGTGAGTGAGTCTGCGAATTGCACCAGCAGAAGTAGCTATGGAGTGTCAGCAGCCATCCCAATAGACCTCTCCGAAGGTGGGATCCAGTGGTAGGAGAATGTCGACGCACCCATGCTGGCGGCAGCAGCCAGATTCCCAGTGAAGCGGACCCCTTTGTCTCATGAATTCTAATTGCCGCAACAATCAAGTTGGCAAAAGACAGACCCAGTCCACACAGATTCAGCAGAAAAATTACGATAAAGGGGCGTTGGTTTGACAATTGAGTGGTGGATTCTTTTGTGGCAATTCCATCTTTATCCTCATACCGGATGTCGTCGGGGTTCGCGTGTCTTTTCCACCTCGCGTTGATCAATCTCTTGGCCGGCGAAATGGTCCCCAACGAAATCAGGACAAAGAGAACAACCGCCGCCTCTCCGGGGGCGATGGAAGGCACCATCGTTCGGACAGGATTGTTAGAGTTGGTGTACCTTGTGCCGAGAATGGCGAGAAGAAGGGCCCTGGGTTTTTTAAAGAAAGATGGAGAGATGATGGCGAGCTAATTTCCTTGTGCATGGCGAACGGACGGCGCTACTGCAGTCAGCGAATACGATTCATCTGCCAGTGATAAGCCGCTCCCCCGCGCGTTGCCTGTCCGGGAGCCCGACGGAGCTGAGGTGACTCAACGCGTTCGAAGGATGCCGATAAGAACTTGAATTTGCTCGGCATGACTCAGATTGGATTAAATGAGTAGAATCTGGACCCTATTGGAAAGTGAGGCAGAAGCGGAGATCCAACGGGAAGAAAGAGAAAAATGCCGGGATATTCTGGCCGGCCATGTGAAGGAATCCCCCTGATTGGCCAGCTCGCGTCCGTTTGCGCGTTTCCCTCGCTGCCTGGGGCGGTCAGGGCTTTCGCAATGAGAACCTTCAATGGCGATAACCTCGCAGGGATTATACCTCCATTAAAACTAGTAGCCAGGTAGGACGGTCGAACCAAGCATCACACAACATCCGGTGTCACCTCTCGCTATGAACCACGGCATAATACCGTGCTCAGTGGCACCTCTCTCCACACTCGGTGCACGTCCCCCCTGCTGCGCCTTCATCTCCTCGTCATCACCAGTCACCAGATCATTTCTTATCATTTAATATAAAGCGTTGATAATCTTCAGGTCTCAGGATATATGAACTGTCACCTCATCCTCTCCAGCGTGGTATTGGACAAATGTAATTTCCACATTTTTCCGGGCGGTCCATCTCGACCCTCAAATCACCGGAGCTGTTCAGCCTTATCACGCAGATACCCCGCTAATGCCCCTATCTTAGCTACATCTTCGGTTGGGACAAGCTTCGCCTAGCCTCTTGGCCGTTCCTGTCTTTCGTGTCATGAACGACGATCGGTCTTGTAGCTATACCGACCATGGTCGGAGCTGTGGTTACGCATGCCTCCTAGATGATACACGCTGCGTGTCGGAGATAAGCATGCTCACATATTCGCCACCTCATACCTTGAGCATGCTCAAGACCTGTGGGCTCTTCAGGTCAGGGATGAGGGCACGGGTTTCTTCACGTTTCCGCTTAGGGACAGTGATAGTCATACAGGGCAGCTTCAAGATCAAGACATTACTTCAGACTACTTACTCATTGCGAGTCGACAGATCAGCGTACAGAAGGTTGCTGAGAGAAGACCTTTTTCTTCTGTTCTGGTGTCTAACGAAGGCTGTCAAACCTACTTCTCCGATGGTATCGATCCGTCTAGACTAGTACCCACCCGTGAAGCCAAATTAGGGCCTGCATATGTGCCCCCACACAAGTAAACATCAGAATGGGTGCGTGCACTATCAACCTGGACACGATTAGCTACTGTAGTCTTGTCGTCAAAATTTTCAGTCAGCGCACGTGAAGGTGCTCCTCGAATGAAGACACAGAATTTTATCTTTCTTGCTTAGTATATATTGTGCGATCATGATGTCTGGGTTACCGAGGTGAATTGAGACTGCTAATCCCAAGAGGGAATTGCACTTCCAAATCACATTTCTATCTCGATTACTTGTTGAACTCGGTATACAACTGTCCTGCCAATTGGCCAACTGGCGACCGTAGCTGCCATGAGCTGGGCCCACCTGGATATTGTCATGATGAACTGCGTGAATTCGCATATACAACTAACCACAACATCTCTTGGTTAGCAGCAGGCATGCTTATTAAGCCTTCCATTTCTTACAAATCTCCCTCTATCATCATGCAATCAGAACCATAAAGTGCTGTTTTTCTATGAATAATACACTCAACTCCCACAGGGTTCAGCAAATGGGATCCACTGCCCCGGTCCCACCCGAAACTCAAATGTCGCATCGACCTGCCGTTCCGCACACCTGCTAACTCTTGCGCTCGCCTGGGCCAACTTTAAAAGAAGAAAGTCGTGCAAATACACGATGAGCTCCAAAGGATCTTAGCTGAATACGCGTGAACGGCCGTCATGAATGAGCATTTAAATAAAAACAAGAATAAGGCATCTTTCAGGTCTCAGTTCGGTTGTACGAATTGCCGACAAAACAAAGTCAAGTGCGACGAGAAAAAGCCGATCTGCACCCGATGCTGGGAAAAGGACCTACAATGCCGGACAATATTCCGACTGAAATGGGAATCAACTTATCGAGATCAGGGTATCGCCTTTGGCAGGTCTAAGCTGAATCGGAAGCCGATTGATCAGCGGAAGGGCCCAACCGGTGCTCCAGGACTGAGTTCAACTTTTCCCGAAGACACTACATGGCTTGCGACTCCGACTATTCAACCTTGGACTTTTGTCAATACCGATTTTTCCTCCCTTCGAAGACTTTATTCTGATGAGCAAGGATGCGCCGAGCCACATCTTCTCCCGGCAGTCGATGCCAGAACAGTCCTTGGAGAGTTGGGGCCTCGTGAGCCAGTATCGTCATCATCGAAATCGCCACCCCATTTTGATTTGTCCACAAATATACGAGAAGCGATGTTACAGAATCTACAATCACCTCTTTCATTATTTCCATCTTTAGATGACCTGGGAAATCAAGTACTGTTCGACTATTATGTCAACCAAATATGCCCCCGAACAGTGCAGAGTCCTCTGTCCATGTCACCCTTTGCATCTGTCATCCTTCCTTATTGTGTATCCGCTCCGCCCGCAGTCCTGCAGGCCATACAGGCGCTGGCCGCCTGTCATTGGTCCCAGAGCGATCAAAGGTATAGCGAACTTTCTCTGCGACTTAAAGCTCGGGTCTTGAACCATCTTCGACATCGCCTCAAGACGCATCCCAAGGATATAGTCACAGAAGACCCCGAAATCTTGGTCATCATGATGTTCTTATGTTTATATGACATTGTTGATGACTGCAACCACCAATGGATTATACATCTCCAGGGAGCAAAAGATATTATTCGACTACGCCGGCGACAGCAAATTGCGTTGAAAGGGGCCAATCAAGATGTACAGCAAGACGCAGTATCATCTTTCACTGAGCTTTTCTTTGCTTTTCAAGACGTGATGGGGCGAACTGCCTGTGGAAAGGCGGAGCTTTTCGGATCGACCTATTGGCGTGACGAAGACACAGCCATAAATCCTTGGATGGGTTGCAGTCCTGCTCTTGTTTCCATCTTGTTCTCTATTATGGATCTGAGTCGGTCTAGACGAGATATTATCGCCGATGAAGGTCACGAAACGTTCAACGTCAGAGCTGCCTCTCTGATCAACAGACTGAAGGGTATCAAGCAGGAGTCGCAAATCGACGGGGACAACCACATCATTCAGAGAATTGCCGAGTTGAAAAGAGTGACTTCCATAGTCTATTTGAATTGTGCATTGTATGGTTTGACACCATCCGACTCGATAACCAAAACCTACGTCCGCAGAATATTGAAAGATATTGTTGAGCTACTCGCATTAGAGCCATCCTGTCAGGTCGTCTGGCCACTTTTCGTCGCTGCTGTGGAACTTGACCCTCTCGACTTTGCAATTATGTTGGATCCGGATACTGGGAAGATGACGGACGGGCGAAGACTTGTCTTGGAGTTACTCATGAAGATGAGTAGAAGCAGTGTTTCTAGTGTAACTCGGGCGCGTGTTGTTATCGAGCAGGTGTGGAAATCTCGCGACTTTTGTTTGTCCAAGTCTTCGCGGGAAAGGTCACCAGCGTCTATCACGGATCTGAATGACTGGGAAGAATATGTCATGCCTGTTAGTGATGCTTTGAGTTTAGCGTAAGCTGGAATGTCAGCAAACGGACATAAATTATTACGCATACGATTATCTCTTGTGATCTTTTCTTCTTGTACTCTGGTCCGAAAGAAATACAGTACAGTATAGGCAAGCGTATCCGAGCGAGCCCAAGGACGGCGAGCTTTTAGGGAAGCTTATCCTTTAACATTCCTATCACTCGTTTGAATGAATGTTAAGAGTCACAAAATCCACCGTCATTGATTTGCACGATCTATGCCCTATAGCACACCGGCTAATGCTATCCACGATCGGATCCCTGCATGCGGGGTATTCTCACGGCTCGGGAATGGCATGGAACAATCGGAAAGACACCCCGCATGTCGGAATGTACTACCGATAACATGTTCACTAGCAGACTTTGTATACTGGAGTTAGTTCACCCGCCGACCCTATAAAGCACCATCCGAGATTGGAAAATGACTGGTTCCTGCCTAAATTTCAGCTCCTCTTCTCCAGGATCCTTGAACCATTTTTAAATACAACAAACAGAATCGCTGCTTTACCTTCGTCCCCTAATCACCACCTAAATAAAACATTCGCATCACACTCCCCTGAGACCAAGAAAAAATGCTCGTCAACAAAGTTCCCCCCGAAACCCTCACCGTCCCTCCAACAATACACTCTCCCAATTCAACCCGTCCAGTCCTCGTCTACAGGGATGCTTTAGTCGACAAGACGCCCCAAGGTGCTTCAAACGCTATAGAGAAAAGTGAATGGGTGTATGGAGGTCACTGGAAAATAGCAGAAAATGCGCTGGCAGCTGTTCCTCATTACCACTCCATCACCCACGAGGCGTATACAGTTCTCCACGGAACAGGAACATACCGGCTTGGAAAATCACCCCTCGACCCTGACGTTGATGGGAATGGTGAGGAGGTTGGTGTTGTGTTTACTGCTCGCGCGGGAGATGTCTTTGTGTTCCCTGTATGTTTTATCCCTAGTCTGCTCCTCTCTAAACATGATGGAGATATACAAGTCAAAAGAGTTGCAATACTGACAGAGCTATGTCTGTGTAGGCTGGGGTCACGCATTGCGTCAAGAACACCTCGGACAACTATGAGATTATTGGGTGGTATTCGCTGGTAAGGAGTTGTTGATGCTATTTATGGCATGAAGTTCAAGCTGACTGAAGCCGTGACAGAATGATAGAAATTCCCGAGAGCAGCCATGGGATTACGAGGAAGCACTTGACTCACAGGAGGAAACGGACAGGAAGCGTATCATCTGTGAGTCGGTGCCTACGCCGGTTCTTGATCCCATTTACGGAAAGGAGGGACATTTACCTATTGTCTGGAAACGAGACTGAGTGACTTGGTTGTCGAGCCGGAATGATAGCTTGGGAACTTGATCTATATCATCTGTCTCCCTCGGAATTGCTATCTGTACATTGAACACTAGTCTTCACAATATCGAATTCAACGAATTCAATTCGACATCTCCCTATCAAATACATTTGATCGTCAATTACACTGGAGTTGGTGCAGAACTTCTTGCCTTGACAAACGGGCCTTGACACTTTCATTTAAGCTATGCTATTTCCATGGACCTAAGCAAGATGACGTAGAAGCATGTGAGTATCGCGCCACAAAAAAGGTCGGTTGTGTTACATGAAACCCTGTACACTTTGTCAGTCGGCCTAGATTCTCGTGTCAGCATTTCTCCGATCCGGTATTCTCAAGTTCTCCATGAAACCCGCTACAAGAAGTACTTAACATAAGAGAAGCGAAAGCATAAGCTGGTTTATATGAGCCGTTATCAAGCCGAATTCATGATTGCTAACCGTGGGAACCTTGCATTGCTGCAGATAAACAACATAAGAAGGTACTAATGAAGTAAAAGGTGATGCTAACTATAGGACTCGATCTCCGATGCAACGACCGTATTACCTCAAGCTGTGCCCATCCATGGGTGAAGGGAGGGGTGAAAATAGAGTATTAGCAGGACCCCATGTGTTCCACATGACAGAAGATTTTAGCATAAAAGCCCATCAGCACCCTAACCTAGTAATTTATCAACTCTTGCATGGAATTTTACTATCCTAGTCCAACCCTTAAAACATCACACAGGGCCCCAAGCTCCACTTTCCCATCATGGACTTCATCAAGAATGCTGTATCGCAGATTACATCCACCAACCTCAACACAAGCGTCAAGGCGTTCAAGTCCTTGATCGAGAGCGACCCCAAGCTCTACAAGCTTACCACAGAAATGTTCACGCAAACCCGCCCGGGAGATCCAACCATCCCTGGCAACCTCGCTACCTTCATCGTCCAGTTGAACAGTCTTCTTCGAAGTGCGCCCGTATTTTCTACCCAACGCTGGGCCAGCAGCCCCTTGACCAGGTTCATCGAGCCATACATTCGCACGCCATCCGGGTACGAATTCTTCCTCAACGCAAAGGTCAACAATGCCTTCCATGACATCCTCAAGGACTGGGGCAAATTTCTCTGCAGCCCAGAATCAGCAGCCGTCCTAACCAGCGAGCCTAATGGCTGGTTCAGCCCCGACGCTCTCGCCAACATGCGCGATTTCGAGAAAACGTTCGTATGCTACTCAAGCAAGCCCCACTGGGGTTTCAATTCCTGGGAGGAATTCTTCAACAGAGAGCTCCGTAAGGGTGCCCGACCAATTGCGGAGCCAGACAACCCCGGTGTCGTTTCTGCTGCTGTCGATGGAGTCACTTATAAATTTGCGACCAATATAAAAGCTAAAGATGAGTACTGGTTCAAGAATCAACCCTACTCACTCGAAGACATGCTCGATGGAGATCCGATCGCCGGAAAATTTGTCAGCGGTACGGTTCTACAGGTATACCTTGAGCCTACTGGCTACCATCGGTGGCATGCGCCCGTCTCGGGAATTATCGTCAGAACTCTGGAGATCCCTGGGGCATTCTGCCCTGCTCAACGGGATAGTACAAGTCTGGATGACTGGGTTTCCGAATCCCAGGGCTACGCCGTGCACACGGCTACTCGACACCTGATCTTCATTGAGACTGAAGATAAAGTGCTCGTGTGCTGCTTGTTTGCGGGGATACTGGAACGTGGCTCGTGCGAGACGATGGTGCTACCTGGGGATTATGTGGAAAAGGGTCAGGAGCTTGGGATGTTCCATTTTGGGGGAAGTACGCATTGTCTTATTTTTGGACCGCAGGTCAGGGTTAATTGGAAGGATACGGAAGATATGAAGGTTGGACAGGAGATAAGCCGGATATCTCTGGGCAAAATCAGTGGGGTATCTGAGTGAGGTAGCCATGTACACCAAAGCTTTCGTTGTACCAATCTGTCCGTCTAGTCTGGTTCTGGAGGGTTTGGTCAACTTTAGTGATAATCAAAGTTACGATGTTACTATACATTTTCTTCTGGCCATCACAGGTTCAAGAAGCAAAGAGTACTACTACGTTCTTCATGCCAAATGGGGTGTGAATGTGAAGGGCGGCAGGATATATAATACTCCCAGTCCTTACTAGTACCGTGACGGACGATGATTTATACTGAATGAAACCATAAAAAGATTAAATGGAGCGGTTCTCCTAATATAGGCCTATCTCGCTATCTGTTCATTCCAAGACATCGTTTTCGTATTTGTGGGGTACTACAATGGTTAGTGGAACCTGATGGATTTACAAGTACCTAACGGCTACTTCGAACATTTCTATGAGACCGATCAGAACGCTCTCTCAATATGGACTTAAAGAACTTATTACGACGATTATACAATCTGCCTCCAAGAGCGGATGTTTCACCAAGTCAACGTTCCAGAAGAGCCAAGCCTTCTGGCACATGCTTGTGCAAGAACTGTAGGCTGACAGCGCTCCGATTTGAGAGACAAGCCTTTGGATCAAGCCTTTGGATCAGGCTCCCAAATTTTCATGCAGCCCCTGGAGAGCCAACAATTGCAATCAACAAATTTAGATCCGACCCTATCAAAGCAGCTTCTCGGAAAGTGGCAGATCGACTAACCCTATCCCGGTCAAGCTTTGCGCACTAGCCCGCCAGGCTCTGACTAATCGGGAAATCCAACTTCCTGTCTGGGAATGGCACCGGAAAATGTTTTGCTTGCTAGTCCGAATAGGGGCTGGTGGTGTGGATCATCACCACTCGAAATGGCAACCATCCCCGGGGAAGAAGTTGCTGACCCGAATAACCCTCAACAGCCAGTTGTCATTAGTGCTCTCCGAGTCAACTCGCCCCCAGGGCTCTTCAAGTTTAATTGCGAACTCCTGTAATCTTGCTGCGATGGAGTTGTGCTGCTTTAATTGGATCGTTCGACCGCATATCAGCAGATCCCCAACTCGCTTGCAACAGCATTACTTCGGATGGCTCGGACCAACCGCTCAGCTGTCTCCTGAGCAGAGGCGAGAGGAAAAATCTTCCTCCTCCACGACACGAGCAAAAACCAGTTTTCATGGGTGAAAAAAAAGACCCAGGTGGAGTCTATCGTGGCTACCAATAACCAGGCTCGACGAGAGACACCGTCTGGTGTCCCTTTTTCAGGGACAAATGGCAGATTGCCCCTATTTTTAAAAGTTGGGTTTGGGCCCTTGCCCCTGAAAGCTGCCTATAGTGGGATTAGCCCCCGCCGATGCCTCGGAGACTAAGTGCCGACTCGCTCCTTGATTGGCTGCCACCATCTTTGCTTCTGTGCTATCGATAGCTTGCTCGCTAGAAGCCAAAGAGGCACTTTTTTTTTATCTCCAGCGCTATAACTCCGTCAATGGGCTCCTTCTCCTTCCTGCCCGCCACGAGCCATGAACCTGAAACCATTCCTGTCATCCCTCCCCCAGGACAGCCACGAACCCGCCCATACCCATCCCGCACCCAAACCCACCACCACCTGAGTCGGGTCACCCCAGACTCTGACCACCAATTCGATTACCACGCCCTCCTCGCAGTTCCGCCGTCATGTTCTATCTTCGCCATGCCTGGCTCCTAGGGGCACTAGCCAGCCTGGTGGCCGCCGATGAAACCGATTGCAACCCTATCAACAGCACATGCCCCGCCGACGCGGCGCTGTCCACAGAGCACACATGGTGGTTCAACCAAACGCTAGATGACAAGCTTTGGGATATGCAGACGGGGGAGATAGAGTACACGTCGGAAGGAGCAGAATTCAGCATCAAGACGGAAAACGCCTCCACCTTGTTGGTGTCGAACTTTTACATCTTTTTCGGTGTGATGGAGGCTCATGTCAAGATGGCCAAGGGTGCAGGTATCATCAGCAGCGTGATCCTGCAGTCTGATGACTTGGACGAGATCGATTGGGAGTGGGTGGGATACAACACCAGCGAGGTGCAATCAGACTTCTTCGGAAAGGGAAACACAACGACAAGTGATCGCGGTGGCTACCATGCTGTATCGAACGCGGATACCGAGTTCCACAACTACACTACTTACTGGGACAAGGATCGTCTGGAGTGGTGGATTGATGGCGAACTGAGGCGCACAGTCAACTACTCTGAACCCCTCACCGTCTATGGCAAGAACTACCCCCAAACGCCGTGCAGAGTCAAGGTCAGCAATTGGCCTGTGGGTATTGCGTCGCAGTCGATAGGAAACATCGAATGGGGTGGTGGTTTGGTCAATTGGACCGACGTCCCTTTTACTATGACGGTACAGAAGATCCGTGTCCAGGATTTCTCCTCGGGCAAGGAGTACAAGTACATCGGTCACAATGGCTCTTACGAAAGTATTGAGATTGTCAGGTAAGTCCTTTTTCGTTGATACCCGTCAGCTAGGTGAAGGACTATTCATCTAACTGCTCTTGTCTATAGTGGAAACTCCACTGCCGCCAAAGAAATCTCGAAGAAACCCGCCGAGACACTTGCCCAGAAATGGGACAAACTGGGCACAGCAGCCCACATTGGCGTCTACTGCGGTGCCGCTGCCTTCGCTGCTCTCTGTATCGCCGGCTTTGTCCTTTACTTCCTGCGCCAGCGCCGCCAAGGTCGTCTCGAGCGCGCTCTTGGTGAAGGTCAGGGTACTGCCGCGGACCCGACCGAGATGGAAACGTACAAAAAGCAATGGAGACAGAGCGACTGGACGAATCGTCGTGGTTACCAAGCAGTGGGACAATAGCCTAACCCTGCTATCTGCTCGTGGTGTTGTGCGGAATGTTTTACGATGGGTGAAGCACGTCGATTTGTTCTCTTCTCTCCTTTTTTTACCCATACTTGGATACCGACTGTCTATTGCGAAACACTTAGATTTGTTACATTATTATTTTTGAGATACATATTGAGCGATTTAATGCGTGGTCTATTTTTTGAGAGCATTTATCATCCATAATCGTGTATATAGATGGAGCGGTTTATCGATTAATGTACATTATTGGGAATACACTACCATCAAATATTTTTCTAGTACGCAATCCAGCTGGATGCACAGACAGCAAAATCTCGCCCTGAGGACAATTTGTTAGGTGGCGGCACTCTGCAGACATAGCCACACGATACATCCAATGATCTACGCTCCACTCTCATGCAAGGAGGTTAGGTTTAGTTTGCTTGCCACGCAAGAAACTATACCCGGTTTTGTGCGTCTGACTGTCCAACTGCTGTGCTTGGTAGGTAAGTCGAGCAGGCTTGTCAGTCCCCCTCGCCTAGCAGGCACATTGTCATATGATGATAGATTTCCGTGCTTTATCCGCATAAACTTGGACCCCATGGCTAGACTGTAGATGAGACAATCCAACGATCCAGAAGTATGCACCAAGCAGGAGCGGTGAATCATGCAGACATTCCAGACTCAAACATCATAACCCATCTGCTATATAGCGAAGACAGTTATATACATCTCATATAGTAGTAACTATCCCCAGTGCCAGCATACTTTCCCCATCACAAATCCCAACAGCCCAGTTCCCTCTCCACCATGACAATCGACACCAAAACCATCACCGTCTTCGGTGCAACCGGTACTTAGCCCCCCTTACCCTCCTCTCCTCCATACCTAAAACTAACTATATACCCATTCAGGCCGCCAAGGCAGCTCCGTCGTGCGCTCTCTCGTACAAAACCCAACTTTTCACGTCCGGGCCATAACCAGGAACCCATCGTCAAGCAAAGCCAAAGAACTGGCTTCCCTAGGCGCAGAGCTAGTCAAAGCCGATGGGTTCAACCGACAGGAACTTCAGCAGGCGTTTTCGGGTAGTTGGGGGGCGTTTGTGAATACGAATTCGGAGGATCCGGTTTGTCCTACTCCTACTCATATGACTGGGGTAATGATATTAACTTGGATATACTGTAGGAACTAGAAGCCAAAGGCCTCAACGACGCCGACCTAGGCAGCAACATCATCGAATGCGCGGCCTTATCCGGCGTGCAGCACTTAGTGTATAGCTCCGGTCTGGCGATATCAGAAATGACCAATTGGGCAGTGAAATGTCCTGGTCTTGATTGTGCGTATCCACAAACCATTTCATACCTCCATTGTTTAGACTAATAATTGAGAATACAGTAAAAATCCAAGTCGAACGACAGGCCTACACCACGAAGGGCTTCAAAACCGTAACCCCCATCGTAGCCGCGTGGTTCATGGAGAACTGGCTCGAGCCAGACTATGCCGACTTATTCGGCGGATGGCCCACATTTCCCGATTCTGAGGGTTATCTAACATACAAGACGCCCTTTTGGGGCGGGAAGGAAGATTTCCCCTGGATCAGTATGAAAGATGACTTTGGGGATTTGGTTCATGGGGTTTTTGTTAACCCGTTGCGGTGGAATAGACGGCTGATTCAGGGGTCGAGTGATATTGTTTCGTCGGCGGAGGTGGTGAATACGTTTGTCGCTGGTAAGGTTTTTCTATTATTATTATTCTTTGTCTGGGGAAAGATGGTTGCTGACGGTGATGGGTATAGTGACTGGCAAGAAAGCCCGGTATGAGGTTCTGACGGACCCGAACGACATGAATACAAAAGGGGAGTATTGGAGGGAGCAAGAGCGGGATGTTTTTATCTATTCGCAGTTTAGGGATGGGGAGTACTTCGGTAATGGGCCTACGGAGATTCAGACTGCTGCCGCGTTGAAGAAGGTGGCGTTTAAGGCCAAGGGGGAGAAGGGGAGGGAGACGCTTATTACTGTGAGGGAGTTTATGGAGAGGGAGTTTGCGAAGGTGTAGAAGAGATTACTATACTATGTCAGAAACTGGATTATGCAGAGTTACTTGCGCAAAGACAGAGCTGGCTGTCTTTATCCCTTGCACTTCTGGCGTATGCGTTATGCGCGGGTTGGAGTAGCGGTGAATTTGGTTGCATCGTTAACTTAGCATACCATCTTGATTTACTAAGAGAACTATCTGCAAAGAATCAAGGCCAGGCAGTGGTTCCCGGGGCCTGGTACCTGCCGAGGGACTTGGTTATCTGTGGCTGAGGGCGAACCCTTTTAACTGAGTATTTGATCTCTAAAAACATGCGATAATTAACATTGTAAATAGATATACACGCTGCCACCACTGAAGCTTACTAGACGCTATCTCTTCTCCACAACATTTAGTACAAAATCTATTTGACCCCTTAAAGCAAATAATTGTTAGCAAATGCTACAACCGACCAACCTACTAACCTAGCAAGAAGCCACCGAAGGGTAGTTCTTGCAAGCGCTAGACTTCTTTCCCCCAGTGACCTTCACATCGTCCCAAGTCCAGTCCGAGCAGCTACCAGATCCGCAAAGAAGATAGATATCAGTAGCCTTACTATCCACAGTACCAGTCACGCTCTCCAGCTTGACATCCGTAATAGTGACACCGTTCGTGGGCTTACCCGTAGGCTTACCATCCTCGTAATCCTGCTGGATAACGACGCCGTAATCGGAGATGCCGGACATGACAATGTTGGAGTAGGTGATCTCAGACACGGAGCCAGTGGCACCGGAGATAGTCTTGATCCGAACAGCATTCTCGGAATTGCTCACGGTGGAGTGCTCAATCGTGACGTTCTTGACAACGTTGTTGGAGCGGTCGCCGACAGAGCCGATGGAGAGACCGTGGCCGCCAATGCAGGTCCCGCCGGTGAACCAGATGTTCTATAGAATTTAAGTATAGTTACAAATCACGCATACATGTAGAGCTGCTTACCTCGCCAGAATTAATCGCAAGACAGTCATCCTGGTTATGAACCCATGGTTTGATGATATTCACACCGACCGAGTTACCAACATCAAACGCATCAGTGTTGTGTCCACCTAGGCTATCACCGTCCGCGTTGTTGATGGTAATGTCAGTCAGGGTGATGTCATCCGCCTCAACACTAAACGCCATAAGGGGAGTGTTCTTGATATTCAGTCCAGTAATGGACGAGGAGTCAAGGCCATGGGCGTAGAAGAACTTGGGCTTCTTCTTTCCGCTGGTCCCCTTACCGTCCCACCACCGCGAACCGTCGCAGTTGATGAGGTGGCCTGAGGCACCAGTGACGGTGATGTCTTTGCCACTCATGGAGATCAAGGGGCCTGCCCATTCTTCATACTCGAAGGTCGTAGTGCCCTCGAAGATGACCTTGGTACCACTGGTGAGACCGGTCAGGTCGAGGGTGGTTCCAGCGGGCACTTTGATGCTGTCAAGGGTGATGGTAGAGCATTTCGCCTTGCCCGCTTTGGCAGCAGCAGCCGTGGTGAAGGTGCAGCTGTCCCGGGCTTCAATGGGAGAGGCGGAAGCGAGGGTGGCGCCGGCAGCTAGGCCGTAGGCGAGAAGAGAAGCAAAGGAGTGCATGATCAAAACGATAGTGATAGAAAAACCGACAGAAGGAGTGTAATCGGTCTGATGTCAAATGAGTGTAGGATAATGAGCAAACTAACCTCAGCATCAGCAGGCATGAGGTTCTTATAGTCACAACTTCAGCGAATCTCTTCTGATTGGAAATCCATAACTGCCGACAGCCCCTGGAGAGATTCTGGTCCAGGGCCCCCGTTTCATATTAACATGTTGTCTCAAAGGTTACCTTCTTTTTTAATGAACGCAAGTTCTGTATGGTGGGCATTTAATTTGTACGAGCCGTGGTGGCTGATCAGCCGACGGGGTCCGCGGGTTACTGAACAGGTTCGCATATCGATGAAAAGAACGCAAAATTTATCTCACGAGCGTGGACCTATTGTCGCAGGTGACAAGACGGAGAAACGCCGGCTCAGCACATAAGCAAGCAACACTATAACTTGCCTTCACAAGCAGCCGTCAGTCCTGGAGGAAGCGGGTGCCGGATTAGGTGCTTAGGATCCAAGCCGGTTCTGCAGGGTACGAGTACGAGATTGCAGCTATATTAATCCCAGTAAGGCAGCAGCTTGAAATGCAGGGTCTGCGGCATTTACGGTGCCTTGCAAATTCCACCAATGAACGGTTCATAAAATCACTCTGTGCCAGATCCGGAGCGTGATCGGCTAGTCTGTAGTTAATATTAATATCAGAGGTTCGACCTGAAACTAGTGCAGCGTCCAACCGTTCCTTCGGCAGCTAGATCAGGAATAGTGCGCAAAGCTCGCTAATCAGGGTTGAAAGCTTGCCGGCAATAAGCAACCTGGAGTGGGGCCAGTCAAGAAGAGGAAGGACAAGACAGGAAAGGAGGAAGCCATTGGCTAACGGTGAGCGAATCCGGCGGACTATACTGGCCACACAGTGAATAGGGGGCGGTTCATTGTGGGAAGGTCACAATCAAGTTTTGTCTTTCGATTGCAGCTTGAGCAGGACTTTTTATCTGCTGCAGCATTAACCTGGTAGCCTCAAAATCTGAATGATGCTATCGAGCGCAAATACTGGCATACCTTCGATGAACCCATTCCTCGGACAGGATACACGGCAATTCTGGCGCAAAAAGGTCATGTCTGAAAGGCAAACGGCACCCCTTGATTCCCCTGCAGTGTAGGTGAACTATATTGACCCGCTTATTACGCTCTTCATAAATTGCCCACCTGATAGCGGCTTCGCTCTATCGCTCCTCCCGTCAGGTTGTAGAAGCAATCTATGTCGAGCATTCCCAACAGGAGATCCTCCTGGCATCGAAATAATGCAGCCGTCCGTCATCGTCCTAGGAGCGGAAAGAGTATTGTCCTATTTACATTGGCTTTGATAAGCGGTTATCCGGGCATTATGAAGAGTTAGGAATCTTACCACCATACAAGCGCCAAACGAACCGCACATGCGGACTAACAACTTTTCGCATATGGCAGTAATTAGTTGCTATCCGCGCAGAGCGCTAGCAACGCTGGGCGTCTTCCATCATCTGATCATATGTTCCAGGATGGTAAAATAGTCGCCAAATAAAAGCAAACGACGCTGTTGAGAGCAGAGGGCGTGCTGGGTGAGATGTAGTTCTCGAAGGGGGTGGAGGAGTGAAAGCGGGAGAAGTGAGGATTGGGAGCCAAGGTCACGTTGTCTTTTCAATAAGACATACATTGCTTACATATTATCGCCTGCGTGAGGCTTCCTAACATCGGCTTTTCAACAGAGGTAGTTAGTATCTAGGTCTTGGAGGTAGCTACGAGTATACCTGGACTCGACTAACTTGATTTAAAAAATACCTTTGCATGATAGGTTCATTCTATGCTGCGACTGGTTCCATACAGTGCTTTACCCAGTTCAGCTACTATAACTGAATGCAAATACACCATGATGCCTATGCACACGACCGACAATATATGATACGATACAGGTCAACCAACCTGTGGTCAGTCCATCAAGCAAATTCCATGATCACAGCCAGTGCTCGGTCAAGGTCAAGCGAAAAACACCCGCCAGCAAACGGGACACGCATTGTGATACTCGAGAAACCAGGTCTCAAGGCACTGTCGATGAAATACATGCTTACAGGGCAACGCATGTATGACATCTGCTTTGTTCACAGTTTCGAGGCATATTGCACTATATTTACAAACATCATATCTGTTAGTGTCTGCTTGAATAGAGTCACGTCCAATCACAACAATAGTCAGAAATTGAATGCGAAGAATGGACCAACCAGATGCTACTTTCCCAATCCCTACTTAATAACGGACTCCGTTCATGACAGACAGTGGTGGTATACCACGAATCATAACGCTTGAGGGGCGCGACGCGGTTAAGGGATTTCAGGCGCTGGAGAGAATTCCATGCGGCTGTATGGTCCGGGGTTGTGGCAGGCGTAGAGGTGAAGTCGAGAGTGCCATAGGCAATACAGTAAGATTTCAGAAGAAGACTATAGCACCAGGTTATCCAATTTTAGCACAGCTTCTATCAGATAGGAGGAGCGAGGTAGAAGCTAGAATTATACCAGATCGCAGTGATTATGTACACGCTCAGACACAGGATGAGAAGAATTTGGAGTTGAAGAGCTTTGTCGGGAACTGGTGGTTCTCCTGGTTCTGGATATGGAGTCTGTTCCGCGCCTGGCTCTGCCATTGTTTTTGATCGCTCCCCTTCTGGGATGTCTACCCTGTATAGTACGAATTGCTTAGGGTGTCTTCAAGGGGATGAGAGCGAGGGATATATCGTTCCATAGGGAGGTCCATCAATATAACAGGCCCGAGGGACATGGTCTTGCGGCCGAAAGAATGCCGAAGTCAGAGAAATCTCACGAGAATGCTTGGAAGAAAGAGGAAGGAGGAAATGCGGGGGGAGAGGGTTTTCTGGGGGTGGAGCATGGGCCGACCATGAAATAAAGCCAGCCGGGTACCTTCTGCCTTGTGCTTCCAGGGGAGCATCACAAATAAACTTTTGGTTTCTGATCCCACTAATCATGGCAGTAAGCCAGGCTGGTCATAGTGACGCGCTGATTTCCAGCTGTCAATGTAGCAGGAGCCTATTGCTGGGCATTTACAGCATGCAGAACAGTCAGGCCACATGATAAGATCCTCGTCTCAGGCAGATGGAGGAAGATCTCCGATATCAGCAGCTAGACATGCCACGCTAATTAGACTTTCTATAGCCACGTCTAGGCCTCTCCAAATGATCTAAAAGCATGACAGGCCCAGGAATGATGTTCGACCCTCTGTGGTCCCTACATCTCAAACCAACTATAACTATTTGATTAATTTCTCAATACTGCACCTTTCAACAGCCAAAGATCCCACAATGCCTTCCAAGATCCCCGAACACCTTTATCATGTCCTCTTAACCATCACTCGCCTCAACAAGAACCCCAATAATCTCGTCGAAATCCTCCGGATCCCTGGAACTTACACCAGTCTACTCGCCGCCAAAGCCGCGGCGCACAGCTGTCTCTACGACGCCGGCTACGAGCGTGACTTCTTTCCAACCTATGAAACCAGCGCCCACATTTTTGAACAAGAGAACCTGCCCGATCGCACAGGACTCGCCATTTACGCCGTTGCGCCAGACGGCACCACCTTCCGCGTCCGCATCGATACCACACAGAACAAGCTCCAGCTCACCACCGATCTCGACGATGGCCGCATCTCTATCCCGCTATTTTACGTCGTGCAGGCGAATGTAGAATATGATGCCATCGAAGGGGAAAGCACAGTGCGGGAGGTGATAGTGCAGGGCACATTTACGGATTACATGCAAGCAAGGGAGTACGCGAAGGGAGTCTTGTTGTCGGAGAAAGATGGCATTCTGAAGGGCAGTTATGCGGCGTATGTGGAGGCCGGAGAGGGGGAACGGGATTGTGGATTTGGTGAAAATGTGGTAGTGCATGCGGCGTCAGACTATGGGGTGAACTATCTGGTCAGTGTAATCCGAAATCAAGAATTGGGCAGTGTGAGTTTGGCGGAGGCGGCGATGAGGATTGGTTGATTTGACGTTGTGTTCGGCGCTGTACCTCCTCCATCTTTCCTAAGTAATATCCACTCCACGTACGTCCTATGACTCTTAGAAATATCCACTTGTTCACTGTTTCGCACCAGAACCTTCTGGATACGACAGTCACAAGCCCTACCATCATGCCACCCGGCATAGATATCCAGGCGCGGTAACCCTCACCCATGGAACCGCACCCTCCAAGACCACCTTGACTTCCAACCCCACGCATCCCCGGATTTCCACTTAGTTTGGGACCCAGATTCAAGACCCATCTCTTGATGCATGTCAGAAATCAAAGGAAGGCGCATGCTCTCTCTAGGAGTTTCTATCTGAAAAGACCCCGCGCGAGCCACCCGCGTACAAATGACAGCATGTCCCCCGACCACGCCATTCCAGTTTGCACGTTCCACCGCATACAATAATGTACAAATAAGACAGACCATCGCCAGGCAGCAACAACCATCGCAGCAAAGAACTCCAACAATGCTCAAACAAACCACCCGCCTCCTCAGAACAACCCCAACCATCACCAGATGCCCAATCCACCATTTACGAAATCTACAAACAACAACACCAAGAGCAATGTCCCTCCTGCCACACCACCCCCGTCCGGTCCCCTCCCTCCTGCGCGCCTTCACAGACCTAGACAACTATCTCACGACATCCACCGCTACAGATTCTCTATTCGCAAACTCCCCGCGCTTTGACCTCCGCGAAACAAAAGACGCGTATATCCTGGATGGCGACCTCCCCGGCGTCAAGAAAGAAGACGTCACGATTGAGTTCACTGATCCTAGTACGATGAACGTCAGGGGTCGCAGTGTGCGCAGTACGGAGGGTGAGGATGGGAACTGGTGGTTCTCGGAGCGGACGATGGGAGAGTTCCGTCGCTCGTTTAGTTTCCCGGCCAAGGTGGATCGGGAGCATGTGGATGCGAAGTTGACGGATGGGGTGTTGTCGATTCAAGTGCCAAAGGTTGGCGGAGAGGTGGAGGAAGAGAGGAAGGTGATTGATATTAAATAGGGGCTACTACATTCCTTGGGGTTAAGGGGTTTGGTGCGTGTATGATATGGGTTTGATTGTGCTTTATGTTAGTTGCGTGTGAAGGAAGGAAGATGTTAGCGGTATTTGTTTTAGCTATTCATTTGAAGGCTGGCTGGTTTTCAACAGTGAGAATGGACTTTATGCATGTTAGCGCTATATATATCATTTAAGATTTTTCTTCTTGATAACAGTCGACGATTTATTGTAGGTGAAACAAATCGGATAATCTGTAGCGGCCTACCATGGTATGAGGGATTTGGAGTACAGAAACACAAAGCAATGACATCATAAACAAAAAGTTGTTCTTGGCTTCTTGCAGCCAGTTACCCCACTCATGTGCCAAGCATGCCGGTGCTGAGATAGATGTTCGGGGCACACAGGAAGAAAAACAAAAACCAAAAAAGATGGTCCCAGAGGGGCTCGAACCCTCGACTTTGACGTTATTAGCGTCACGCTCTAACCAACTGAGCTATGGGACCCAGTTGATATGTGTTGCACTGTACCTTTGTAATATATCTTAGCACAGCGTGAATGCTCCAAAACCTTCCCCCACAGTTCTCAAGAGTTGCTCATGGCTTGAGTCTCGGCATTATACTACAAACAACCTAGTCATCTATAGCAGCTGCATTGGTATTCTCCCTTCGCACCTTTGCAAACTACTGGTTTTGATCATAAATATTGTTCTAAGAGCTTATTGTAAAGGTAAGTGAGCTGCTCCTAATATCAACTTACTCCTCCTGTTAAGTGGCTGATAACTAATATATATATCCGGCTTCCATACCATTTATACACATACCGCCCTACTCCAAATGCTGTCCTCTCGAGTCACTGACAGGTGAAGCAGGATGGAAGTATTTGACTGAACAAGTTCCACGGAGAGAAAATCAGCCTCAAACCCAAGCCAGTGCCTAGGGATTCTTCTAAGCCTGCAGGCCGCTAATGCTATAATAGGAATACCGCCGTCAATACCTCAGAGTCGGCAGATGACTACTACCACACCAGGACTGGTGGTCACTGATATCGAGCCTCCTGGCACATGAACTGCTGCAAAGCAATGACCGCGACGCAATGCCACCGGTCGCGTGCAATCCCATGACCAACTACTATAAATGAGACTTACGCCATTTATATTTACCTCTACACTCTATCTTCCTTCCCCATTTACCCCACTTCCTTTGGTCCAGGAACGTACTCTTGGCATCAAACCTGCCAGCACAACACACCCAAGCTGACGGCGACTCAACTTTGGTCACTTGACCCAAAGATTTATAACCCCCTCATGTGCTACATGCGATATTTCAACCAGACATACCAAGTTGTCAAGAAACTATGACCAATCGCGTGGGATTGACTTTCTCCGCGATGTCTATCACACATGCCGTCCGTTGACGATCCCGTATCGCCCTTTGCACAGGACGGAGGATTCCTTATCCCGTTAGGCGGAATTGTTATCAGAGCACCAATAACAGCCCTGAGCTATATCTTGAAACTGATACGGAATGGCCATATAAAGCTGGAGATAAAGACAGCCCCTGATATCTTATATCTTGAGGCATCCCCGTCCTGGCATCCTATGTCAAACAGACATCTCAAAAGACCTGGCGATTGGCATGCACGCTAGTCGGAACCTGGCGATTTTCTCAAAATAGCCGAGGTCGGGGCAAGAAGGTTCAGTCAGTCATCCGTACAGATGCTCAGTGGTCGAAAAGCAGCTAACTTGTTTGAACAGGGCATCATATCCGTGCCGTTCGCAGATCTCAATGCAGATTGCGTTGGCCAAGCCAGACGTGGGCTGCAATTGCCTAAGCTTCGCTGTCACGGATTTGGGATGATTGACAAACATGCTGCACCGTTACTGATTGAGATATGAGTTGCGTTCTGCTTACATCGCCTAATTAGACACGATCGGGATGCTCCTAGCTGCTTCACCCCCAGCTCTTTCTTGCGATATCGGACAACAGCAACATCAAAAGCGTTGTTATCTCAATTATGGGGCACCACCAGCGTCTCTTTATCTATTTATCTCCCACGCTGGCCATTACCAAATTCAATGAGGCTTCTGGGGGTGTCTTGGCGGCCCAGTGACTCCCGACTGGCTGTTGACCCGAGGTCCAACAACCCCATCGGCCGGATCCGATGGAAGGGCAGCCGGCAGGTGGAGAAAAGTCCAACGACGATCTCAAATTGTCCAGCGGGGAAGACACACGCCTGCCAGCTTGGCGATCGATGCCTGTTCTCTTGCGATCCTTTGGCTTTGGCACTGCTTCGGTTACAGGAATCCTATTCTAGTCCGAAATGCCCAAGTCCACGCGACAGACGGGCGCCGCCGATGGCCGACCCATATGCAAATGCTTGGATGCCTTTTTATAAAATGTCCGCACCGGAGACCAGGGTTCAACGGCGTGAGCCAAGTCCAATTGATCATTACATGCGGGGACATCCTGGCTGATGTCGCGATCGTTGCATAGAATCTTCTACTGCATGTCTTAGCCATGCAACCATACTTCGGCCTACGCGGCGCTCTTTTGAATCGCGCCATCATCTGGCTGGTCGTCTGCCCGGCCTTTGTGTGCTATGGATACAACCAGGGAGTGACGGGGGGTCTCCTCACGCTGGAGTCGTTTGCGGAGACGTTTCCCCAGATGAACACTTTGACCACCACTGGGGCCCAGCAGCACTACAACTCCACCATTCAGGGTAGGCACTCTGATCGCTACTCATAAATGCCTCCCATTCTAACATTCCACAGGTACGGTGGTCGCTCTGTACACCGTCGGCGGCATTTTCGGATCACTATCATGCATCTACCTCGGCGATCTCCTCGGCCGGAAAAAGGTGATCTTTATCACCTCAGCCATATCGATAATTGGGGCCTTGCTGATGGCCACGTCTTTCGGATTGGCTCAATTCATCGTGGCACGTGTTGTGCTTGGACTGGGAACCGGCGGTTATGTTGCAACCGTGCCCGTGTGGCAGGCCGAGATCTCGCAAGCGGGCAAGCGTGGCGCCCATGTAGTGACAGACGGTATCTTCATTGGGGCGGGCATTACAATATCGCTGTGGATTGATTTCGGATTCTACTTCGTCACGGGTAACTCCGTGTCGTGGCGGTTCCCGCTCGCCTTCCAGATCGTCCTGTCGCTGATGGTGATGGCCTTCATCATATTCTTCCCAGAGTCACCCCGGTGGCTGATAAAGCGAAATCGGACCGAGGAGGCCCGTGAAATCCTGGCTGCGCTGGCAGATGTCGACCCAAACGACGAAAGCATCACCCTGGCTATGCGCGACATTGAACGGTCGCTGGCACTCTCGGGATCTGGATCGTGGAAGGACATGCTGAGCATGGGCGAACAGCGACTCTTCCATCGGACGGTGCTGGCTGCAGCAGGCCAGATGTTCCAGCAGATGTGCGGAATCAATCTCATCACATTTTACGCAACAACCATTTTCCAACAATATCTAGGCCTGGATGCCATACCATCACGCATTCTGGCTGCCGCCATGTGCCTCACTCAGCCATTGGGCGGATTTCTCGCTTTCTTCACAATTGATCGGCTCGGTCGGCGAGTTCTGATGCTGTGGAGTGCCGTGGGCATGTCCGCCTCAATGGCTATCCTAGCCGGAACAACGTCTCGATCTGATGATACCGCAGCGCTGGTCGTAGCGGTGGTGTTCCTTTTCGTGTTCGAGTTCATCTTCACCGTGGGATACTCGGGGTTGACCTTCCTGTACGCGACAGAGGTCGCACCACTGCAGCTGCGAGCGGCCATCAGTGCGGTTTCAACAGCTGCCGTGTGGACCTTCAACTTCCTCCTAGCCGAAGTGACCCCGGTGGGCTTCGATACGATCGGATACCAATACTACATCATCTTCGCGGTGTTGAACGCAGTGATCGTGCCGACCGTGTACTTCTTCTTCCCAGAGACGAATGGTCGGTCGCTGGAGGAGATTGACGAAATCTTCCTGCAGTCGAAGAGCGTGTTTGACCCACCGCGTCTGGCAAGGACGTTGCCGCGGATGCATCTGGCAGAGGTGGTGGATGATCCAGAGGACGTGGCCGATGCGAAGGTGGGCAAGAGTTGACGGTAATGACTGATGATTATGACATGCTTGATTGAGGATCACATAGCTTTCGAAGTTAGTTTAAATTGGACATGTTTTGTATGCATCCCTTGCTTCTTTCCAGCTATTGTTCACTGTAGATAGGTCACCTGACCGGATGTGGTGTTGCCCAGTTTGTTTCTGTTTGACGGGTTTGGACTTCAACTTCGCCAACTTCAATTTCAGTTCCATGTCACCTTCATCATTCCCTACCATGTCTCCTCCCGATCCGTCTATCTTGGCTGTGCAAGTGGCAGCGTGAGATGGGAATGAACATACTTGGGATGCTCCGGGGAGAACAAAGAACCAGCCACAGCGTAAAGCTCCAGGCTTCTGGAGCTCGTCTCACGATTATAAGGTTCGAACGGATGCAGAAACCCCTCACCAAATCAGTCTGAGACCAGGCCCAGATTGAATCTTCAGGAAAAAGGCGTTCCGTGGAGATCCGCAGAGACGAGTGGCTATTTGTTCTTGTAACCCCACAGCCCCTCCGAGTCCGAGCCAAAGATCCACACTGACGCAGTTGTATCCATAATCTGAGAGCTACACCACCCTGGCCGGCCATGCCAGGTTGTTTGAGCCATACGAGAAGATACACAAAATACCCAAGAAATTGAGACTATTGAACATTCATATTCATTACATACATGTCATAAACATTATTTTTCTCTCCGACCGCGGTCAATTTACCGCACGGTGTATCCTCCGTCAATGATCAAATCGGCACCCGTCGTGTATGTGCTGGCATCACTGGCGAGATAGACATATGCACCCTTCAGCTCCTTGGCATCGCCGTTCCGGCCCATGGGAATCATCGACATCCACAGATCCTGAGTCTTCTTCTCCACAAAGTCTGACAATCCCGTGTCGATGTAACCCGGGGAGATGCTGTTCACGCGGGCAAAGTCCCTCCACTCGTTGGCCAATGACCGGGCCATGTGGATGCAGCCTGCCTTGGCAACGTTGTACGAAGTCTGCTCCTGGGGGAAGTTGGCAATGTGACCCGACATGCTGGAGGTGATGATGAAGCTGCCGGTTCCGCGCTGCTTGAAGTGCGGACCCACCGCCTTGGCGCAGTGGAAGGTACCCGTCAGATCCGTCTGGATGACTTCTTCCCAGTCCTCAACGGAGCCATCGAGGATACCACTGCTGGCTGTCTTGCCAGCGTTGGCAATGAAGGCGTCAATCTGGCCAAACTCGGCCAGCACGTCGTCCACGAGCTTCTTGACGCTGCTCCAGTCGCCGACGTTGCACTGGTAGGCCTTGGCCTTGACACCGTAGGTGTTGCGAAGTTCTTCGGCGTTCTTCTCACCACCCTGAGGACGAGAAGAGTAGGTGAGGGCGATGTTGGCGCCCATTTCGGCGCAGCCACGCGCGGCTTCAATGCCCATGCCGCGAGGGCCGGAAGCGCCGGTAATAACGACGACCTTGCCCTTCAGGCTGAAGAGGTCATGGACGCTGGAGGCGGAGGGAACGGGGATAGGCATGTTGATTGAGGTAGAAATAGCTTTGTTGAATGCAGTAGATGATTGTTGTTGTTGTTGATGTTGTCGAGATACGACGACAGGCACAACTTTATATGCTCGTTCGGAAGTGATGAAGTCATCGCTGTGATGATGTCATAACCGAAACCGGTTGCTTCATTCCAAGCCCTAACAGAATTTGGCAATCAGCTCTCCTCCACCTTTCATCCACTCCAACGCAGATGTGGATAGACATGAATTGACCACTCAAAGCGTCGGATTCCCCTGGTGTTCCGAGTTTCGTGGACGTTGCTCGGGCCGGGTCGGTCATGACGACATTTTGCCGCCGGCCGATGCAGGTTCTGCAGGGTCTCTGCACCCTATTTTACTCAACTTCGTCTCTGCATCTGTCAAGCAGATACCTTGCAAGGGATCAATTTAGAGATAGTCATGTCCACCCCTGTCGAGGAGCCACGTCCGTCGCTGCGCCGCGCTAGCACGGTGCACACCAATGAATTCGATGATTCGTTTCTGGGACGGTTAGTCTGCCAATCATTGCCAAGCAGACCCTGTCCATACAGCCACTAAGTCTGACGTTGCAGGGTACGATCGTTCTTTCGCCGGGACCCCCATGTCGGGGTAGTTAGCCACAACGATCTGCGTGACAGGGAGGACCTTGAGATCCATACCTGGAATGGCAAGGATGATCCGGACAATCCGTGCGTGAAGTATGCAGTTGTTAGGACACTAGTCTAACAGAAGTAGGTTCAATTGGAGCACTTCCTACAAATGGCTTCTCACGGTTACTGTTTGTTTCATGTATGTCCTCTTAGCCTTGCTTTCAAAGGTGCAATGCTAACAGGTATAGCTCCATCCTCACTGGTATCCCGGCCGGTTCCTACGGCTCCGGCAACAACTGGATGGAAGAACGATTCCATGTCCAAAACACGCCATTTCCAAACCTTTACTGGGCCACGACATCTTGGAACATGGGAGCAGCCTTCTGGCCTCTCATATTCGTGCCCCTGACTGAATCCTCCGGTCGCATGCCCGGCTATTTTGTCGCCTACATCATCCTCATCATCTCGCTGTTCCCCTCCGCCTTCGCCCAAAACTACGCTACTCTCGTAGTAACGCGGTTCTTCGGCGGTGGTGCTTCCTCCGTATCCATCAACATCGTCGGCGGTAGCATCAGCGATGTCTGGTACGGAGACAAGGCGCGGAGTCTCCCCATGTCCCTCTTCGGATTTACCAGTGTGGTTGGAATTGCCCTGGGGCCATTCATCGGATCCGCCATCGTAGCCATCCACAAAACTGCCCCGTGGCGCTGGATCTTCTACATTCAAATCATTTACCTGACGGGCCTCCTTCCTATCTTCTGGTTCATTCTGTACGAAACCCGCGCAGACGTGATCCTTACCCGTCGGGCCAAGAAGCTCCGCAAAGAAAAGCAGCGCCCCATCTATGCTGAAGCCGAGCTAGACAACACCAGCGTATGGCGTCTGATGCAGATCTCCTTCGAACGGCCTACACGCATGCTTCTCACCGAGCCTGTTGTTGCCTTCTTCACTCTCTGGATCTCCTTCGCCTGGGGCATCCTGTATCTCTTCTTCAGCAGCGTCGTCCAGACCTTCTCCGCCAACTACGGCATGAATACTTTGCAAACTGGGACCATTCAGCTGGCCATCTCCGTGGGTGCGCTGATTGGCACTCTCGTCAATCCTCTACAGGACATGCTGTATCTGAAGTCGGCGAAACGCAACACAGAGAAGCCGGGAAAACCTATTCCGGAGGCTCGGTTGTATACTAGTATCATTGGCAGCTTGATGTTTGCAGGCGGGCTGTTCTGGTATGGCTGGTCCAGTACTCCTTCTGTGCCTTGGATCGTACCAACACTCGGCATCGGGTGCACCGGTATTGGCATCTACAGTATTTACATGGCAGTGGTCAATTACTTGACTGATGCGTACGAGAAGTACGCTGCATCAGCTCTGTCCGCGGCATCTCTGGGACGGAACTCCTTCGGCGCGTTCCTGCCGCTGGCGAGTTACCAGCTGTTCCAGAACCTGGGGTACGGCTGGGCTGGGTCATTGCTAGGGTTCATCGGGCTAGCACTGTCAGTAGTGCCAGTAGTGCTAGTATGGAAGGGACCCGAGATCCGCCGACGCAGTCCATTCATGCGCGAAGCGACCTGGGGAGCCGACGAGGAAGATGTCATAGAAAAAGAGGGCGACGGAGAAGCGACAGTGTATCGCGACACGCACACAGGGTATCCCCAACACGATCGAGAGGAAGACAACCGCGTGTGATGAAGTGATACCACCACCTATAATAAAAGCATAAGAGCATTGATTGCCAACTTAGCCACCTCATTGTATACAACAAGAATACAAAAGACTGACTGACTACTTGCTATAATTCTGATGCCACGTATAATCCCTCTCCCTTTCCAACAACCCCCTAACCGCCTCCCTCGGCGTCACCGGCTCTCTCCCCAACACCTCCCCCATCAACCCATCCGTAAACCCAGCCTCGCCATTCTCAATACTCTCAAACCACCCCACCAACTGCCGGAAGAACCCCTCCGCTTTGCCCCCGATATCATTCTCCGCGTTCAGCCGTACATACGTGTCCGGATCGACTACCTCGATCTTCACCTCCCGGTCAGTCGTCTCATTAATGATATCCACTATATCCTGCACAGAAACAGGCTCCGACGCAGTCAACAGCACGATCTCTCTGTCATGACCACCCTTCAACATCAACTTGGCTGTTGCTTCCGCCAACTCCGACCGGAGCGTGAAAGCGATTTTCCCAGACGAAGAGGGCAGATAGAGGGTCGTTGACTGGGGATACCAGTTGATGAAGAGCGGGAAGGCTTCAGTGTAGATTCCTTCGCGGATGGAGGTGTAGTTTACCCCAGATCTATCAACCAACCATCAATACCACTGAAAACAATCATAATAAGGGAGGGGGTGACATACTCTTTCAACATATCCTCCGTCATATAATGCGCCTGCTGCACCGCAGCCTTGGAATCGGACCCGAGGCCTCCAAACGCGAGGGAAGTGTACCATACCTATCACACCATTATCATTACTATTTATTCCATCTCAAATGGAAATAAGATTTAGGGGAACATACATGTTTAACACCATTCCTCTTCGCCGCCTCCACGACATTCAAATGCTGTCTTCGGCGCTTCTCAACGTCAAAGGTATTCGTACTCACAAAGAAAAGGTTCTCTACGTCTTTGAAAGCGATGTCGAGCGTTGAGGGGTCGTCATAGTTGACGGTGCGGAAGGGGATGCCTTTCGAGGTGAAGCGGTCACTGTTGGATGGGTTGGAGGAGGATGCGGCGTATGATACGCCGTGTGTGGATTCTTGTGCTTGGGGGAAGTGGCTGGTGAAGTAGTCCAGGATGAGGGAGCCGAGGCCGCCCGTGCTGCCGGTTAGGAGGTAGGTTAGGGGCATTGTTTCTCTTCCTTTATTTTTCTTGAAGGTGGAGGTTGAGTGCGGATGTGGATGTGGAGATGGTTGGAATCAGACTGAGTGCGGATGAGGGTATTATCTGTGTGATTGTAATTGTTATAGTGTTGTTGAAGCTATACATGAAAGGAATATAGGATAGTAGTAGTTATTGCTGATAAATCAGCCATTTGTCAGATGGCGTCATGTCCATGAAGGTAATTGGTGGATGGGATGATCTTTAACATGTTAGTGCTTATTTTCTGTGCTATAGTTGTTGCATTCTTTAACGTAAATTAATCTACTGGTTATTTCCAGGGCATACTATTGCTTACCAAGCAGTGTGTGCAATTGCAGGGGTCCAAGCTGCGGCGGGTTCAGGATTTAGTGCGGCTGGTTCAAAGAGAGTCTGATACTGAATGAGCTGGTCCACGTGGTTTAACTGCTTCAGTATAGACTGACATGAACCAAAATCAGTTTTTTTGGTTGTAAACTCACATTTCAATCGTATAATAACCGAGATTATTTTAGTGTTGTGACTATCATAGTATCAGGCTAGTGGAATTTGATTTGTTTATCTTATTTATTTTGTAATTTATTATGATATAAAGATCACAGAGCTGAACTTAGTATCAAAAAATAGTCATCTATCAAGTTCTTTCTGTATCACAGATTCTGGATCAGGGACGTGTTTGAAGGGGTCTCACTCGCGGGGGTTCAACTCGCGGCGGCTTCAATTTAGTGCGAGAGTATCAGGAAATTTCTGATACTGGATGATCTTAATCACGTGAAAAGATGGTTTAGTATCAGACTATGTTAGTTCTGACACTGAATAACCTCTTCTGACACTTTCTGAACCCGAATCAGCTGCTCTCTCTATTGCTTTTGGGGCCTTTGGGATGCTCGCCGGTTTTCCTTCTTATTGTCTTTTACTTTTGCAATGACTGAGATATTTAGTATACCAGAGATTATTAGCAAAGATAATAAATGTTAGAGATTTCCTGATATTTCTCTAGAATTTGATGAATCACGTGCAGAGCTGATCTAGTGTCAGAAATGTTGAGGCGCTAGGATACTAGCAAAGCAACAAAACAACAAAAAGGTTAGTAAATGAACACAAATTACAGTAAAAGAGTGAATCGAATTAATAATCCTCTAGATGATCTAATAAAATAAGGTGGAGCCGAGAGGGATACCTGGAACTCGATATATACCGAAGGCTGATGAGAAATGGGTAGAAGTCTCACATCATGCCCTAGCGCCCATACCACTCAGCTTATACACGTAACCACATAAGTAGCTGCTGTCTAGCATCATCACCAATCTCTAAAGGTGTGTATCCAAACAGCCAGTCTTTCATAACGCGCGCCTGCACAAGTCCACTTATGTATAAGTGTAGACTCATCGAGAACCAGACAAAGGTCCAGCTATACCCGACCACCTTCTCAAAATATATGCTCTTTCCAGAGATGTCAGTTTTCTTCCATGCCCAGCGCACCAGATCCTCCACCATGATGGCCAAAGGCTGCGACATGAAGAAGGCCAGCTCGCCCATGTCGCGGCGAGTGAAATTGAACATCTGGGCCTGGTGGAAAAGGCAGCTTATCCCAAACGAGATGAACAATTGGCTGTAGCTAGACGCTAAACCACCCTTGCGGAGACGTAGGAAACGAACAAGACGTTTTGATGGTTGCGATAGCAGCTACATGTTCTGTTAGCACGAGCATCTCTTGGAATGCAGTTGTCTTGGGATTCTACTCACCCTGCGGCATACCTGGTGATATGTTGCACTGCATATGTGTAAGTAAGCATTTTAATGGCCTCATTGTGTAGGTTGTGGCACATACCTCCACATCTGCCTCACGCTCCATGCGTCTTTCAATGGCCCCATGAGAGGCGGCCATTCCCAAGTTTCCGTCGCTCCTGTCGCAACACCCAGGACAGCCGCGAGTCGATATGCGCAATTCAGCCTATCCCATATCCACACCGCACCCGACCATCCCACGATAGCATTGACGACAACTGTCTTGAGTAGCTCATCTGATCTGATTTGCGCTCTTAAGGCACATCCTAGACCCAGTCCGGCTAACGTCCCCATAGATTGCACGTAGTAGAACACCACCCACCACATTTGCCAGCCCACGTACTGCCACCTTGGCAGCTTTGCATGCGGATCCGCAGGAACGCCTTTCACCTGCCAATTCCATCCAATTCCCCTATGCACGGGCAGCATCAGCCTGAATGCCCACTTCACACGCTGTGAGAACGTCGTTAAATCCTTCCAGCACTGGCCCTGGGCAGTAATAACGCCCCCCTCATCCCCACGCTCTTCATCTGTAAGTTGGCGGCCAATGAACGCAGGCGCATCCTTGCCGTCTCTTGGGGTCAGGAAAACAAAGTCAAGGTACCACAGCGGAAAGGCAATGAAATGGCTGTTATTGTAGTAATCTGAAGAGGGATCACCAGTAGTGAAGCACGGCCAGCTGACGCATAAGTAGAGCAAGAAGGGCCAAGTGGAGAAGGCTGAGTAGCCTTTGTTTTCTACTAGAAAAGGTACCAGGGAGAGACCGAGACAGCCAGGCGTGTAATAGGTGGGAAGGGGTTTGCGCTCTGAGAGAGCGGGATAGAGAGACGCAACGATATCCATAAGAACAAATACGATGTTTTAACCAAATCGAGGATCTGATCGGTTGATTGTACGGACTGACTGACTGATTGAATCCTACCCCGCTTTTGGCTGCTCTTCTAACGTAAGCGGCAAGCGAGTCGGCCACCTCCACCTGTAGCATATCGAAATTCTGATTTCTATACAAAATGAAGGTCTTTGAACACCAATTTCAATATTCAAAACATCTATATCTCAAGCTATTGCTCAATAGTGTGAGGGCCACCGATTATAGACCACATGGCTATCTTTTGCACCTGTGCTGACCGGGGACACTGAGTTTGTGCAGGATTGATGAGACTAACGGGGCACCTGGTACGACGGGCTGAATACATTGTGTTACAGAACGGATAAGGGGATTGAATGCGGACATAATAAGCCCTAATTGTCGTCTTTGTGTCCATATATCTGAAAAAGAAACCAGGTCCGCCATCATAAATAATGGCAATTAGGGTCAATCTGGGTCTCGTGTAATGCGAAATTTCTATGCCGGCTCCTGACGGTCGGCTCCACCTCGATCCGTCCAGTTTGCGTGATAGTCAAGAATTAATGCGGAGGAAACAGATGTTACTGAAACCTTGAAACACACGGCATGTATTTGTTGAGCCAGCGATGCAGCTCGCATTGTAGATGTTCATTGAATATCGCTAGTTCTTACCTCCTGGGGCTGGCGGGTAACTGGCTACCATAATTCACAGCTGAGCCGTCCACACGGTCGAATATGAATTTCTATATTGTATTGCAGTTTTAAGGCTTGGAATATCTCAACATTCTTCCCTGATCCCGACCCATCATAGAGGAAGCAATCTTTTTATGAACATGTAAAATAACCACCGCACTTCTTTTTATTCAAAATATCTATGCCGGTCTCAAGTGCACATTCCAGCATCGTAATTCAAGGTTTCCTGATACTTAGGGAATTTGGGGCCACAGTCACTTAACCGTCTGTTTTGGCCTTTATATATCAAATATGGTATGTCTTCTGCCTCAGTGGTTAAACTTTTCTAGCCCAGCGCAAGGTTCTCAGAAGTGTTCAGGGAATCATGACAGATATGATTTTATAGGAAAAAATCTGGGCTTATAATCTATTAAAATATAAGATTACTAATAAAGTAATAGAATAATAAGGAACTAAGTAAATAAATATAAATTACGGTAAAAAAATAAGTTAAATTAGTAATTATCTAGGTGCTCTAATAAAATAAAGTAAGAGATTATCTATAGACAGCCTGAGTACCAGGCATGTGACTATGCCTACTCCGGCAGTTGCCTCAACAAGAAATAATATTATATCATGTGCATAAGCTCATTCAGGGTCAAGGTTTCTCTGAACCCGTCTGAGCTGTTTATCCAGCCCCAGTCTGACACTGTCGCACTAATTTCTGAACCCGTCGCAACTCACATGCCCAGTTTAGACTAGCGCGGTCCCTATGTATAGCACCTTCCAACAATTGTACTCTTTGTGTTATGCTTAGCTTGTTTATGTTGCATGCTGATCGTTATTACTGACGACCAACAGATTTATTCTGTCAACGTATACGAGTACAATGTGAATTATGAGATAGTACCACCTCGAAATAATCGATGGTCTCTTCGACTAATGCGCACTCAGGCAACACAACAGTGAAACAAACAACATCAGCTAGGAGTGAGAAGCACAAAAGAATAGCGAGCATATTGCTTTCCCATATAGCCTTGAATCTATTCTAAATTCATCAGCCTCCTACACGACAAACGGCAATTAAGCTCCATGGGGCTAAAGCTTAAGGCTTCCATCCGATCTGCAAGGGCCAGAATATCTTTTCCCATCAGGCACCCTACTGGGGCCAAAACTCCTTTTCTCACAGATCAGCATACTCAATACAGAAATGATCAAAGATCTACACCTCGAAGGGCCAAGAATCCAACTGAAGCGTGAAATGAGCCACCATAATGGGTTCACGATGACTGGGCCTGGAATCGACGGGTGTGTTCGGCCATGCACTGCCCTGAGTATAGAAAAAAGGCAAGCATCTGGATGGGGCGGAATGTCGAAGAAGGTATAAAGTCGGTCTTCTTCGCTCCTCATCTCGACAACAATCCAGCTCAAATTCTCTCTCTCAATCATCTACATACTTCATTACCTCACACAAATAAACCACAAATCAGTCCTCCTATATCTTTCAAAAAAGAAACTCCTACCAAACAAAGCAAAATGCAACTCCACCACTTCCTCCCTCTTGCTGCCATGGGCGTCCTGGCCCTCACCACCACCGCCGAATCCACTCCCCTCTCAGCCCGCAGCGAACTCATCAAAATCACCACCTGGTCCGGTAACAACTGCGAAGGTTCCTCCGCCAACCCTTTCATCACTAGGTCTGGAGAATCCTGCTTTGTGAGCATTTCCGGGGCGTCTTTCAACGTCAGTGCCGCCGACAGCAAATGCAAGATCACCACCTGGTCTGAGGATAACTGTCAGGGAAGCTCGGCGAACTTTGCGGGAGATGTGCAGGGATGTATTGGTATTCCATTCGCGTCTGTTAGTCTTGATTGTTAGGTGTGGCTCGAACTGAGGATGTCTCTGCTGTGTCAGTAAGAGGACTGACCGGATTGGGTCATGTTTGACTGGACTGTTTTTTATATGAGTGTTTCTGTTTGACGTATAAAGTATCTTTTGGATAAATTGCAGTATTCCTTTATACACATCGAAGTGAATAGTATCTACCTGATTACCTATTACATACACAATAAACCATATTATATCATCACCTCGCTGTCCTCTCACCACAGCGCGAGTCCTAATCAGTCGGCGCAAACTTACTCCACGACCGGATCCTACTTCCATATATGTAGAACAGAATCGGTACGGGGAACAATATGGCCGTCAAACATCCCAGCAGAGTCATAGCCCACGGCACGCCCAGATTATGGAACTGCATCAATCAATCAGCATGTCTCGTTTACCAGAAAACCCACAAAGCTTCAGACAAGAGAGCAAACTCACCATCGGAATAGCAAACATTGGAAACCCGGCCCCCAGCCCCGACCGAAAGAAGCAATTGGCCGCAATTGCCGAGTTGGCATTGATATTATAGCAATCGATGATATAATTCAGCCCCTATACCATCATCATCAGCACCACACACCACGACACCCCCCAATAAGAGAACATACCTGCATAAAAATCAATAGTATCCCCGCCCCCAAAAAACCCCCAGCAATGACCTGCGGCACCCAAATAATCCCCGGATTACTCGTCCAACCAAACCAAAACATGCCGGCAGGCAACAACACCCCCCCAATCATCATAGGAATCAACCTCTCCTCCGGAACAACATGTCCCTCCCGTTCCAACACCCTCTGAAACCTCGTCTTCGTGAAAAACACAATAACACAACACCCAAACACGACCCCAACAGCAATGGCAATAAACGGCAGCGCTCCAACTCCCTTATTCCACCCCCTCAACTCCTGAAACGCCACCGGATACGCCTCAAAACACAGATACAAAAACCCATAAATAAACCCCATATACAACGTGATAAGCAACAGAATCGGCTCCCTGACAAGCATCAAAAACGGCCTGACGAGATACACAGTCGCAATATGCTTGATATCAACCGGCATCTCCTCCGACCGCGCATGCAATGCCCAATTCCTCGTCTCGAACCGCTTCCTCCTCGCCCTTCTCTCCAATAACGTCGGCCCAAACGTCTCCGGAACAACCACAAACCCCACAGCCCCAAAGAAAAACGCCATAATGGCCGTGATATACTCCGTCCATCTCCACCCCAGATAACTCATCGTGATAAACCCCCCGACAATGGGACCCGCGACCGGCCCTACGAACGTAGCGCCTGCGAACACCGCCATTGCGATACCTCTTTCCACCGGATTGAATATATCCGCCAGCATACCACCGACAATCGCCAACGGCGCACTAGCGAATAACCCGCCCAGAAACCGGCATATCATTATCGTCTGGAGGTTCTGCGCCACGGCAACCGGGATCTGGAATATAGCGAAGATGAAAAATCCCGTGAACAAGGGGGTTTTGCGTCCGTAGAGCTCGGATAGGGGACCGAAGAAGAGCGGGCCGAAACTGTATCCGAGCACGAAGAGACTCGTGCCGAGAACCATTACTTCGGAGGAGACGTGGAATTGCGAAGCTGTTACGGTGGATGCGGTGCTGAAGACAGAGGAGGCGAAGGTGACGGATATGGTCATGAGCCCGAGGATTATTGTTATGAGCCATTTGCGTGGACGGGGGAAATTTTGGGGGTTTTCCTGTGATGGGTGGGGTGCGTGGTTAGGGTTTGGGATTTGGGTTTTGAGTATAGATGGGGTGTCGGGGAGGAGGGTGGGAAGGGGGACATACTGGGTCATCTGGACCATCCCAGTCCACGATGTTGAGGTCGGGTTCTTTTTGGTCCTTTGTGCCTTCGGCCATGCCGTCGTGGAGACGCTGCTTCTCTATGTCTTTATCATCGTGCTCGCTCGGTAAGGTGCTGCTGGAGTGATGGCTGCGACGGGATTCTTCTGCCGGGGAGGCAGTCTGCGTGCGTGTGTCTTCCATTATGGTCTGATAGACACTATGAGCTCGATCTGCTATTCCTACGCCACATATTGTGTGCGTTAACTACTGTATTTATTATGCATTATCCTAATGTATGTATCTGGTGGGATGATGTCAAAGTAAACGGCGTATCCGACCGGATCCGGCGACGTCATCCGCGCTGGTGGCAAGCTGCCCTATCGGCGCTAGCCATTGGCTCTCAATACAATACTATTGAAACAAGACCTGCTTGCTTAGTTGTACATAAGAGAACCTCCACATGGACTGACATCACCCAATCTGTCGGTGCCTGACTCGCACCATTCCCTAACCCGACAATCGGCTCTCGGCTCCAGATATCCGATCACCGGCTGGGTTCAAGTATTGTTGGAGCATGAGAAGCTGGTGCTTTTGGGGTGGTCATGGATTGATTTTCCGGAGACGTAGAGGCCAAGGGCGCACTGTTTGGTTAGGATTCTCGTGATGTTATTGTGATGAGATGGTGGGTTGTATGCTTACTAGACAGCCACCTACAACTACCACCAGCAGGTTCAGACCGGTCAGTAAGATCTTGCGGCGCGACGAGGAGTATCGACCCCAGTTGAGGAATAGCCAGAATATTCCACTTAGTCCATCTGAGGGATGGGTTAATACAGAGATGGGTCTAGACTCGGTGGGACTTGGACTCACATGTGAACCAGCTGGCAAAGAGCGCCGTCTGCGTCTGTTAGCCTTGTCCAACAACATACAAGATGAGAAAAACAAAAAACCTACGATCAGACTCAGCAAATCGTTGAACACAGGAATCGCCTCAGAAATAATCCACGCCAGCGTCCACAGCACCAACCCGATCATCACCCACGTCCCAATCGAAACAAGTCCGCGCTGGTGCATGCGGTCGGTTCCCCGGAATAGACGGACGTAGATGTATTTGCATGCCACATGACCATTGATCACGCCAGCGATCACAATCTACGTTACGTATCAGTTCTTTTCATGCAATTGTTTGGGAGGACCGGCTTACCGTCGGGATAGCAACGCCGTAGGCAATCTTGGACATCAGCGGACTGGTCGATCCCAATGCCGGAGATGCCACGTCCTTCCCTCCGTAGCGGTAGATGACGACCGCCGAGATAGTGTACATTGACGTATCGATCCCCTGCAGCATGTACAGTGTCTTGGGGTAATCGGTCGGCGTGCGCATCTCTGAGATGAATCCGAAGAAGGCCACATGCCCGGCTGGATTGGTTAGCTTTGGTTCTGCTATTCAAGGAGTGATTTGGAAATACCGTATGCGAAGACAATGTTGGTGACAGCCAGGAAAGCCTTGTAGAATGAATTGTCAACGACGGCATCAACACGGCCGTCACCTGGCTTTTGAATCGCGATTGCAATCATGGTGATCAACACTGCGGCAGCGATGCTGATGAAAGCTGTGACTGTAAGCCTTATGCATTATCAAAGGTTCTACGATGAACCTACATGAAATTGAAAACCAAGACACCTTCTTCAGCGTCCGCGGCAAGGTAAAGGCAAACGACACCGCCAAGCCGATCACACCAAACACAATAGAACAGGCGCCATGGTCAGTTAAGGTATTCATCATCACAGTAAAGGTCAGAAGATGACTGCCCATGATAAAGATCAGAAACAACAGCTGCGCAGTTCCCAGCACTTCGCGACCGATGCGACCCATCAGGACCTCGCCGGCATCACCCATACTGTGCACATGCGGATACCGGAGTTTGAACTGGCCTAGAGTATAGCCCGTGTAAGTTGCCAAAGCACCGAGGCCAAGGATGAGGATCACGGCTCTGTGCAAGGCTAGGTTAGCCACCAAGCCACTCTCCGTCGATGATACCAATCATAACTTACGCAACCAGGCCAAGCGACGCCACGGCCGAGGGTAGGGACAGGATGCCCAGGGAGATTGTCTCTGCGACCATGACTGTACAAGATGGTTAGAGATGGTTTATCAGATACTGGTAGTACACACTCATTGCACATTGCCTGAAGAGTTAGCCAGGTCCGGACCACGAGAGCGAATCTAGATGAAGGGATGAACGCTTACCACCAAGCCAAAGTGCGGTACTTCACCCCGCCAACACCATCATGACTGAAAGGATCCTCGTTCTCAGTGGCGCTTCTCAGATTGATAGGTTTCTCCTGCTCGGCGAGCGGGTCCTCTGGGTTATTGATCGCGCTCAGCGACGACATGATAGCGACCAGGGAAACCCAGTGATCCGCGTCACAAGCAAGCAAACGAACCAGCGGAAGACTAAGCAGTCACGACCAGACAAATGAGAGTAGTTATGATGAGTGGAGGTGAAAACAACAGAACAACACAGGATTGAAGACGACTGAGGGAGGAGACGAGAAAGTCAACAAGACAAATTCTGCAGACAAACACAGAGCCCGCTGGTAAGGGTCCAGGGCCACTTTTCTCAGCCAGGAGCCTCACCTGGTGAATACATCCGAATGGAGCGTCATCTCACGTCATCTAGGGATATTTTCTGGAATTCTGGGGGTGTAAATGCGGGGGTTGTAGTCAGGATCAAACTATTCGGGGAATGCCGAAGCTATGCAGTGCCTCTATCCAAGCATATCACGAATTGCGGCGGATGAGCGACAGCAGATGACATGTAGAGTTTTCGGTGACGCTCAGAACCTATCATATAGAGCCCAACAGTGTCAGAGCGATGTAACCTCCCCAACCAATTTGGCCTTGGGACCGTGGATGTTGGATCTCTATTCCTACTGCTGAGGTATTTGTCAGACCAAAAGTTATCAATTCAATGCAATCATTCAATTCGCATTAGTTCAAATAAGTCCAGATCTAGCTAATCAAAGTGTAATTCCAAATCAAGAAATCTAAAGCAGTAAGCAGTTGTCTATGGGTATTGTGCGCAACGCAAGTCTATCATCTATCGTCTATTCTCTATCCTCGTCTCGGGTCGTGTCATAATGTTATGCCTCTTGCATCGTCGCCAAACACACGCGGTCGCGCAAATAGAGTTCAATTCCCGCCTCGGCACAGGCACGGTGCAGCGGCTCTACCGTCTGATACACCCGGGGTTTGATCACTCTCTCGCCGGCGGCCTCCGCCGGCTGGTAGCCCGATGCGTCCTCATCCTCCTCGTCATGGAAGAAGCCTTCAACGTCGAGTCGTCTCAGGCCCTTGAATTGCGTCTTGCGCTTGTTGAGAACCTTTTGGAGCTGTCCAACCAGCATGACCAAAGTATTTTCCTTACAGCCTTCCACATACAACGATTCGACCGACGCGGGAAGCACATCGGTGAGCGGGCACGACGGTTCATACTGGTAGCGAACATCAAGCAGGTTGGGCAGACGGATGCGGATATCCTTCAACGCAGTGAACTCCGTCAGAGGTCCAAACCACTCGTCGTGCGTCTCGTTCGCTCCGGCAATGGTGAAAGGCAAGTGGGTGCCGCAATTATCCAGCCACAGGGTGTGCAGGCTGCTCTTGCTGCTCGCCAGGGACTCGAAGAATGCAGAAGGCTGGAACCCCTCTGCAAGCAGGTGTGAATCGGAGTGTTGGTACTTGAAGGATTGGAGCGAAGAGCATGAGGCGATCAGGCTTTGCATGCCCTGAGATCCACTGCTCGTATTCAGTGTAATCTCAGCAATGGACGAAGAGCCGGGAGTAGGCTCCTCAACCGGATGGGTTGGTTCAGGCTCATCCTCGCGTGGGCGGGTGGACTCAACCACCGAGTCCGCCGAGAATGCCCGCATGGATGGCAATTGAAAGAAAGGGAGGACCTGGGAAGTCATGTAGCTTCCTCGGCTGTCTTCCTCGTCGGCTAAATGGCTCAGCGACACATCCCGCAACACACGGAATGCCGGCTGGTCGTCGAAAGGCTTCTCTCCCCTCACTGCCCGCTGCATCATGCGGTCCAGGTAGACATTCTGCTTGGGGTACACTAATTGCAGATGCCTCAGGTTACTCGCCAGCGGCAGGAGAAGCGCAATCCAAGCTTCTTCAACATTATCCCGGAGATCCTGCTCCCATTTCGTGTGCTCTTCGGCGGTTTGACTGAGCGAATAGGCCAATTGGGCAAACGGCGCCAATTCTTCGTCGGAGGGAGGGGAGGAGGGAGTGGAGGTGGACCTAGGACACCAGTCATGGAAGTCCAAGCTGCGAACCGCCCGAGCCAGCTCGGGACGACGGAGAACAGCTCCCAGGAAGGAACGCGTCTGGGAGCAGTCCTTTAGGGCAGCTGCTTGGTAGACTAGGCGCAGAAACAGGTCGTGGAAATGACGGCACACAAAAAGAAGGTTGTAGCGGTCCCGATAGTCTTCCACATACTCCCCGACCAGGAGGAGGATGTCATTGGGAAGTGGGAGTGACATACTGAAGGGGGATCAGCAATTGAAACTGAATTCAATGCATCTGGGGAAACAAAGCCAAGGGAGCAGCCACCGGAAGTCCGGGGGGATTTAAGGGTGGCCGCACACGTCGATAACCTAAGATAGGGGAACTGAGTTTTGCAAAATCCACAGCGTTGGTGAACTTTGCCAGCCTTAGGATGGGGAGCAGATCCATCGTGCGGGCCAATGGACGGCAGCTGGCGGAAGGGTCGTGGATCACCAGTGGCATCGGTTGACCTGCTCCATCCATGGTTAATCCAGAAGGGTTCCGTAAGGGGCAATGGAGTCCGTATTGACACAACCCATTGCCAACCCATCCACTACAATTATTGCTGCGAGGCATGACGTCCCACCGCTGCGCTGTGTTCTCCCCCCACTACGGATAGCATCGTCGGGTTCCGCGGTTGTAAGAGCGAGAAAGCACCAAATCCGTTGCGAAGCGGAGATCACAGTCGTGGGGGAGGGCGCATGGACGATGGCGGTGGAAAATTCGATCACGGTGTGTGTTTAGTGTTAGTTTGTACCCGCAGTCGCTTGTCGCCACCGCCATTCAAGGCGCTGACGGGCCGGTGGAGTCGCGACAAAACAGAGGCTCCATCCACCGGGCGGGGGGGCAATGCTGATTCTTATTTTGCCGGAGGTGCAGGTGGTGGGAAAATTACCCCTCTCGGCTGTCCATGTACTGCAGATGGTTGCATTGTTTCTGCAGCCTGGGAGTCTGTGTCCGTTGCGTTGACGATCGTGATGCTGTCGATCAATGGACAAGAGGCCTCGTCGCGGGGTCACTACAGTGCTTGGGAACATTCACCATGCTGTATAATGGTACAGGTGTAGAACATAGTAGAGAAAGCTGTAGGTTGTAGTATAACAAACTGGAGCAGTTGCCCTGAGCTGCCAACAAGCAACCAGCGGGATGACAGGGAAGCTGTGAGGATTGGAATGTCCCGAATGGAAGAAAAGAAATCAATCCCGTGATGTCACATGCATGCGATCTGCAGCCCTTCCTCTACTCCGTACCCTCCAATTGCTTTTGCAAAAGTACTCAATGGCTTTGAAGCAATGCAGTTTACATTGTTTGATTAAGTGATTGAATCAATCATCACAGCAACATTGCAATCAACCACCACCCTCGTGGATCTGTGATTCGGCAGGCCTGCTCGATCGGGCGAGGCGATACTCGGTGGATTCTGGCTTTTCGCCATCGGTGGAGCTCGGCGGATCCCCGATTGATGAATTTTCCCCCGCCGATGAAGCGGTGTTTTGGATTTCGTTCCATCGAGGACCTGCTTAGCTGGAGCTTAGATGGAGCGAGCACCTTTCACTGTTGCAGTTGACAGACATATTACAATGGCTTCGCTCATAGCCAGGGAAGCGACATTAAGGTGTCAGTAGATACCTCAGGCACCATAACCCTACAGTATTATCTGCATGCTACTTACGGAGTATATTCGGCTCTCTGTCAGGAACAAGAGATACGGTGACCGGCTTCCTTTTGGCTTTCCCGACGGCAACCTGATTAGATCCTGCAAATGTGTTGTTCGACTAGACATGCAGCTAGATAAGTGTGGGTGTGGTAGCTTTCGCCTGAATGCAGATCCACCCGGTCTACTTCCTCTTTTCATCTCTGAGATCCTCCTAGCCCTCTACCCATGCCATTAATAATGTTGAATAAACATATTGTCTCTATTTATCTCGCCAGCTGCGGGTATGGCGGTACACATGTGTTAGGACATGTAGTCTTATGGTTTCTTCGGTCAGTTCGTATGGTTCCTCTCTTCACTTTCTCACACCTCTTCCAAGCGGATAGAGGCCAGTAAAATCTCAACGATACTGACATGAACATACGGAGCTTGGAGTATGAAGTTGAGTAATATTATTCATTGTTTTATGTCTACTCCTAACTAACTATCTCGTGAACATCATGGGATGACACAAAAACACTTCCTATTACATAATATTTTAATCAGCATCGCTTCTTTCCACCCATCCCCACCAAACCAACCCACCACTGACTTCCCACTACTTCTGCCTCATGAGCCGCTGATTTGGGGTAACCAGGCAAAATGTTCTTGGAGATAAGAGTTGTAGATATGTCGGGGACTAGGGCATATAAGATGTTGAGCAAGCAATTTTCTTGACTAGATCGCATATAATACTTGCTAGAAGATTCCCTCCGCCATGCCTTCTTCAGATCATTCAAGCATTTGATCTATCCCACAGAACTTCCATGCAGAACTCAAGATAAAGGCATACACACCTATTATGGTCTATGTCTATTCTTTCTTAATATGTCGTATCTTTGCGGACTACACTGGAGCCAAAGTGGACGTCGTCCTGAGTAGTTCTTGTCCCTCCCAATACTTGCGCTTTACTGGGAGGCGGGCAAACCTTCTTCTGTGTCGAATCTTGGAGCAGCAAGGGCAGGCGAACCGAATTTTATTCCTTTTCGCAAAGATCAGTATATATGGAGATGATGTGACACTAGGGCTTCTTCGCGTAGATGTTTACCTTTTCCATTCCTCTGCGGCGAACAGATATAATATCTTCTGTTGCGGTGTCGTAGTAGGGCTTTGAACTTGTAGATTAGTCCGGAGATATTGACTTGTCTGTGACAGAACCGCTAAGGAAATATAGTCAAGGTACTCGATAACTCGTATTTGCAGCTCAGGCAACAGATTGGTAAGGTAATCCATGGTGGATGTTTCAGGAGCTCCGTAGACGAATAATTGCTGCGTTTGACACCCGGGCCATTCATTTAGCACCTTGCTTCGAGATAGCCTTTTTGGTAGATTTTTGTCCATCATTAGCATGTCAAAAATATCCCTAGGCCAAAGAGCTTATTTGAGTAATAACCGGTGTTGATGCTCATTCTTCAACGTAACACACCCTGACACATGCTGATGATTATATTTCATCAGAGCATTTATCTAGCGAGACACATGCCCAACCGCTCTGCCTGCTTCGCGACCTCTTGCTATGCCTCTCCTATTGACCATGCTGATCCATTCAGACATGGCTTTATAGATATTGCCAAGACCCGAAATACATTAACTTGCTTGCATAGTGCAGTGTCCAGACACCTGCCTGTATGCGAGAGGGTTGTCATCCAAGCTCGTGCAAATGCAAAAACGAATATTATTCAATTCATAAAATCCCCCACCCCTTACCTGGTAGATTTACGACACAGATTTCTGGGTATGACCTTGATGTCTTCGGAGAGACAATGATGAAGCACAATGAATCCATTGGGAACTCCAGAAAGTTAGGTACTTCCAACCACAAACACATCTCTCAACCCTCTGCCGCCTCATCTGCGAACTCCCAAAATGTAACCTCACCAGACGTGCTCCTCATAACCAAAACATTGTCTTTTGTTACAACCGCACCACGCGGTCTGTACTGCAAGGGAAGGCGAACTGATTCCGACCCATAAATTATCCAGTCGTCATTCCATTGTATTTGCCGACTGGTTCTCGAGTCCCAGTTTGGTAGAAATGATCTAACTTCGCGTCGACTTCCACCTGTAACAATCACTTCATCGCCTTCAAATTCCAACAAATCTGGTACAAGCATGCTCTGTGGCAAGCTCATGTTGATGTGCTGGCCAAGCAGTGTTAGATTGTCTTCAACTCTCTCCCACAAGGAGAGACTTCTCCCACCAAGGTCACTAGTAGCAACCAGCCTTCCATCTGAGGACAGTGCAGCACAGTCTCCCGGATATTCGAGAAGTATGGTTTTGCTTTTTGCTAAATCAAAAAGGATAATGATGGCATGGGCTTCCTCTTTCTCCAAGAAGAAGATGGGACAGTTGATTGCCAATTTTGTCCCGTCGGCTGACCAGAGAACCTGTATCGCATCTAACTCCTCGCGCTGACACGTATCCCATTGAAGTCGACACTTTCCGTCAATTACATCCCATACTTCTAGAGCTATTGCTTTGGAATCGCTATTCCAAAGGACAATTGCCAGGAGTCTCCCGTCAGGTGAGAAAGACAAACAAGGCTCTTGTTTGTAACCGCGAGGGACGGTGCAAGCCACGTTGCCAGTGATTATATCCCACACTGTGATGTAAAAACTATCGTCTTCGTAAAGAGCACTCTCCCTTGAGACCGAAGCTTTCGCAAGAAGCCTGCCGTTTGAACTGATCTCTTCTGTCTGACAATTGTATAGATAGCCTTGGACAAGGTCTAAGACAATATTGTCGAAAAGCCGATTGGTGTTCATTCCCTCCGTTGCCGTCTTCAAATTGGTCAATATTGATCCTTTATAGCCCCTGACCAGGACCTGCCCAAACATTTCAGCAATGCCTTCTGTATCTTTCCTGTTGACTCTCCGACTAAGAGAGCCAGATTTGTTCTCCCAAAGGCAGATATTGTCTGTGGATGCCGATAGTACAAATTGATGGTCATGAGACAAGATGAGCCTCCCGTCAGGTTTTAGCGGAGCTGCAAGCTGTTCCGATCTTAACTCTGAAGATAGATCCCAAATCCGAACTATTCTGTCGAGACCAGCGGATATGAGAAGTCGACTTTCCCAGTTAAATACAACGCATGAATAATCCGCGATGCCTCTCAGGCTCATCAGAAATTCGCCTGTTGCCGAGTCGAAAAGACCAGTGATTGGTGTGCGATCTGCCCGTATCGTTGCAACTAGTACAAACATCTTCCCGTTTGGCGAGAGTTTAACGCGCCTTTTCGCATAGGGCGTAGGGAGTCTCACCAAGCGTTGACGAGTCACATAATCCCATCTCTGAAGCCCTGTGGAGCGATGCCAGGTTGTTACAACCTTTTCACTTGGGGAGAAATGCATGATAGTGTCTGAGTCGAGGGACTGGCAATCTCTCCAGTCTAGCGAATCATCAATTATTTCCAGCAACATAGCTTTCGTCCTCCAATCCCATAGCTTAATTGAAACACAATCACTCAATAGTGTTTCTGTCAACAATTCACCGGTGGCCGAGAATGTCATATTGAGGCCCTTCCCGATTCCTGAGGTATGGCTCAGCGATAGTAGAAAAACGGACTCAATTGCATCCCAGAATAATATACTACCGTCAGTCAGAGATATTGCCAAGGCGGCTCCATCTGGAGTCCATGCCATGGTATTAACAGTGGTGGGTACATGAACAATCTCCAGTTCTCCCTGTGTAGCATAGATCAAACCAATGCTCTTTCTACTGCAGTGTACCATTGCTAGGCACCCTAGAGATGACAATGAATCTTCGTGAGGCGCTTCCCACCTATCATCGTCCGAGGAATCACCTTCCCAGGAAAGGATCTTTTTGAGCAACATCCCGGTACTTATATCCCAGACTTGGACACCCTGAAATTCCCCAGAGGAAAGAATGTGCTTGTCGCCAGGAAGAAACGCAATAAAGTCTGGCCACCCACCGCAATCGATCGTATATAGCAATGTTCCCGTAGTTATGCCCCACAAATTAACCCTAGAGAGCTTCCATAGCCCACACAGGACAGCGAGAGTCTTTCCATCCGAAGATATGGCTAGGCAACGGCCATAATCTTTGTTATTGAGTTCCTGAAGTAGAGGCTTCCATTTGTCCATCACTCTAGGCAATCTGGAGAAGGTACTTGGAATCAAACTCCCATAGGCTTTCCGGCAGATGCTTTGTTCCGGGGCGAAAATGAGTGCCGAACGATAGACCTGAAGGGGTAAGTTTTCGATTTCATTCCTCGATGCAAGCATGAAACGCTTCATGTCGGAGACCATATCTTGAATCCCGGCTCTCCCATTGCGCTGGAATATAGCGAAATAACATTTAGTGATTAGTGGAATAAATGAATAAACGGATAACAATTAGTTGGTACCTACCGGTAGGGCACTAAAGTAACTTTCAAGCTCGATGACGTTGAGTGCAGCTGCCGGTATCATTCGAAGAATACTCATCAGTTCAAGCCAATACAAAAAATTCTGTTTCAGGAATTGATGTACACAGTCATCATCAGACAACTCGAGATCAGCTTGTTGGAGATGATACGACCAATATTGGGAAGCGTATCTGACGCAAACTGGAATTTTTTGGTCCAGCAAAGATGGATCAATATCCTTGACCAAGAAGGATGGGTCATCAAGAGAACAGATATCTTGTTTCAGAGTACCCGACAGCAAATTTAAGCAGCTTTTGAGCAGAACTCTATGGGCCTCTCTCGAGTCAATGCAGAATTCGTCATAAAGACATCTCCTTTGAGGCTGGCCTAGGAGGAAGTCGCGAAAAGACAGATGTAGCAATCGGATAGGTGACTCAAAACTATCCCCACTCGAGACAACAGAGCCCAGGCTACTTAACAATTTTCGTGTTTTTGGTGCCTTTCCAGACAAACCCAAAAGATCTTCGAGGGTTGCAATTGAGAGGGGCTCAGCTAGGACAACAACAGCCCCGATTATTCGTTGGAAAAGCCCAAAGAAATCGGCCTTCTCAGTCTTTGTTTTCCTGGAGCTGTGAATAACAGAGTAACTCAGAATTTGACTATACGTCCGATCCAGAAGTTCCTGTGGTGATTCTCCCGAGTCGTCCGCAGAGAGCTCCCGCATGCGTGCTTGCAAATCCTCCCAGTCGTCTACCCCATCCAAGAAGCGACATGCGGTGGCTGCATAAATAAACAAGCCATCGCTTCTATCCGCCAGAGTACGAACGATTCTCCTTTCATCATCCTGAGTGAGCCAGCAGGTAGAATTTACATGCGACTCAGGATACTTGATGGTGGCTCGGGACGCAATTTGCTTGATCTCATGCTCCAGATACAAGGTTATGTCGTCTTTCGGAAGGTTGGGCGCTTCAAATGTCATTGGAGTCTTTTCGAGTTCAAAGTCTCTGACACCGATTCCTTCAGAAAGAGCATGAAGAAACTGAGAGCATATCTCTGGCCTGCTAGTGAGGAAAATCTTCAACCGAATATTTCGCAGCTTGCCAGCTGTGGCCAGAAGCCTCAGGACGCCTCCAATATCATGGGCCGGTTTTCCAGTCTCCATAGGGTCCTCGGACACGGCCTCATCAAGTGCATCTAGCAGCAATACCAGTGTCACGGGTAGGAGGAGCTCCTTTTCAAATGTCAAAAGTGGTTCTAGAATCAACTTGTGCCACTGGTTGCGCAAGTTCTGGGTGCCGATGAATTGGTTTTCCGAGATCGCTTGGCATATCTTGTCTCTGGAATCTGGGAATGATGATGCTAGCTCATAGGAGATAGAAGGAAACAACTTTTCAACGGTGTTGCGCCCAGGCTCACTTCTATCGAAGAAGAAACTAGCACCAAGATAGAGGTGCGCCGGAAGAGAGGGTCCATGAGGTATAAGCGACTTGCGCTGCTGGCACGCAGCGGCAAAGGTACGGGAGATTGTAGACTTGCCGGTTCCTGCCATTCCTCGGAGCCAGAACACTTGAGAGTCATCCGGAGACTCGGCCCAAGACTGAATTTCACGAAGTATCTCCGTTCTCGTGCCCTCGAGGCATTCTGATTTGTTTCCATCGTCAAAGGATCCAAACTTTGCCTTCGAGACCACTGGAAGGTCGTCGAGAAGTTCCTTTTGCTTGGCCTCCTGTCATGATCACCTTACGTCAATACGATTCTGTTGTACGAATATCCGTTATTTTGGGGAGGCCTACCTTGAAGCTTTCCTTTAATACAGAGAGTGAGTCTATCACCACTTGCTGTGAATCCTCCAACTCTTTGAAGATCGCTTGGATATCGTCGCCAACGAATATTGTCAAATCCTGGCGAATCTTTCCATCAAGACGCGTTATCGACTCGAGAATGTTGCGCCATTTATCGACATCTACCCAGTCCTTCAAAAATCGCCTGTACCCTGAATGATTGAAGTGCGTAGCAAGACACATGTGGTACTCAAGTATAAGAACATATAGCTCGACGGTCTTGGATCTCACCAACTCTGCAAGATGCTGGGGCGATTCGGCTACTTTGGAGGCAGAAGTCGAATATATTCTGGTCTGGCTTTTCTCCAGAAATGCATATCGAACCATCAGATCTGATACAGCCTGAAATCCGCTCATGGCTTCCTCATCCTGATGAAATGATTTGGCCAGTGGATCTAGTAGGAACAGAACACCTGCCCATGCTATAGAGGCATGTGGCTCTGCGCTCACTGCAGCGGATATAACGTCTTTCACAGACAGAATTCCCCCAACGACGCGACGAACTTGTTTTCTGACCTCGATCTCTCTTCCTCTAATGCATATCTTAAGCCGTGACTTTTCGATCGCTTCGAGGCGCCCTTTTACGCAATACTCGAGTCGAGGATCAATGTCAGTATTTTCTCGCTTTTCGTTGTTCAAGGTATCCGATTCCGCGCTCGACAGGACGATCCTTTCATACTGGGCAAGTAGCTCTGGACTCTTGGCTTGGAGATCTAGGTAAGCCTTCTTCCACAGACCTTCGAGTCTTAGAGGAACTGGATCGGGAATGATCGAAGAACTCTCATTAGCGACTGGAGTATTGTGTGAAACCAACGATGCAGTGCTGGTATCTTGAGAAACATTCAGACTGGAGTTTTTTGGTGGACGGAGAGTCGCCTTTAAGTCTTTCAGGCGCTTTCGGAAAGGCATTATCTCGGGGGTGGCAGTCACCGATGCGAAGATAGGGTGGAAGGGCACGAGCGAGGCAGATATGGCTTCAGAGGTCGGACTGCCACCTTACCCCTCACCCTAGTTTCCGTTACTTCGCTTAAACAAACTAGTAAGATATCTTTCTTACCAGCACCTGCATGTCAAGGGGTGTGTACTTGATGTGTCCCGATATCATTGGTAACAGCCCCACGCTAGCCTTGTCACTTATGCATAGTGCCGATGAGCTTAGAACCTATGGAGACCGCCATACAGACAGCTAAACTGTGACTACAAAACGTGAAATTGGAAAACAAATCCAAGATTCCATTGATATTCCTAGATAAAGAGGCACGAGATGTTCCACATCACGCATACCCTTTCAAAAGCAAAGTCATACTAAACGAAAGGCGCCAACAGCAACGCATCAGCACCCTAGGCAGTAACGACCTAACATTCATTCACTGCATAACGTTCGGCCTCTGCTGTTTTCCCTTCAATTTTTTCTTTGCCTCTTTATACTTTGAATCTTTGTTGCTGACAATGCGTCGCCTTTCCAATGCACGCAAAAGCCTAAGAATATAGACCTGAGAGTTATAGCTCGGATCTTGGTTATTGACGCGTGCACGTTCTCCAGCATTGATAATAGCATCGTACACTCCCTGTCGATTTGGAATATCACACAAATTAACACGGTCAATGAAACTATCTTCATCTTCGTCTGTCAAAAATCGTGTTTCGACTCGGTAAGAATCTGGGGATCCGACGAGGTGGATAATGGGCTTTTCGGTGTAGGTTGGAGCGTCGATGTAAAGCATCCAGTGCTTCAATACGCCGTCCCCTGGTAGTATAGCGACATACACGTAACAGGTTGGCAAGATTGGTAGGTCATCGTGGTAAATGTAATTACATTCGGGCTGGCCATCCGAGATGTCGCTAGAGTCCTCGGAGTCCTCGAGATACTCGGACTCTTCGTGTTCCTCCATGATGGTGGTTGATTGCATGATTTAGGGTGAAGATGTAACAGCCTGATCGAGGATAAGGAGTAGGATGGAATGGGGAGTAGACTTGTAGCGGGGTATGCCGAAGCAGAAAGATAGGATGGTTTAGGAGCAAGATCCGCAGATTGCAGGCAATGCTATGATATATCTCACGAATAGCGGGGTCAACGGCATCAGGCTGAGGAATATATATTGAGTCATTTGGTTGTGGAACAGATGCCCTGTCACACAGAGGGCGGATCATGTGACTGCATCTGGAAACACAAGGCTGAATTATCACCATCTGAACTGACCATCTGCATTTCTCCTTGCCAGTCTTCTCACCATGACCTGGAGATACTGCGTGCAACCTCAACTATACAGACGGCTTCACTACAGTCGTCACCTGTTCACATGTCCTCTCTGGCCTGTGCGGAATTACTCCCAATCCACTCACCCTCTCCTTGATCCAACCGAAAAGCTCGAGGAAGAAACCCTGCCGTGGTACTCACCTGAGAGATACTACCCTGTGAGACTTGGTGAGATATTCCAATCGCGGTATCAAGTCGTTGGAAAACTGGGCTACGGGGGATACTCTACCATTTGGTTGTGCAGAGATCTGTGGTTAGTCAAATCTTATCCTTGTCCACAATCGACACGATGAATCTCACATAGTTAGTCCGGGTAGTCAGCGCAGCAAATATGTCACGCTGAAAGTCTTCGAGTGCAATTCGACAGAAGCACAAAGAGAGATATCAGCTTACAATCATCTGAATTCACTTGATGTACCAGATCATGCTGGTGCCAAGCTTATCCGAAGAGCATTGGGTAGCTTCCAGATCGCATCCGAGAAAGGCACGTTCGAATGTCTCATCCATCCACCTCTTGGAATGAGTATGCACGGATTTCGCATCCAACTCAGGGCCAGAGTACTTCCAGAGAATATAGTCAAGTTGACTTTAATGCATATTCTTCTCGCTCTGGATTATCTCCATATGGAGGCTGGATTTGTCCATACAGGTACCACATCCATCCCGTGTTGCTTAAGAAGGGGGACCCTACTAAGCTGGTCTCTAGATATCCGGGAAAAGAATATCATGATGGGAATTGAAGATCCTTCTATTCTATCTCACTTCGAAGAAGAAGAAAGATCCAATCCCAGCCCTCGCAAATTTGCTGGCGATCGGGAGATCTACACATCCCGGAAACTCAGAATAACCAAGCAACATGGTCGTCCAACGCTATGCGATTTCGGCCAGGCTCGCTTTGGATCGAGTTTCTACTCTGGGGATATTCAGCCTTATATATACCGGGCGCCTGAGGTAATATTGCGATTGCCCTGGAATGAGAAGGTGGATATTTGGAATATTGGAGTATTGGTAGGTATCTGTCCCTTGTGAATCTCAGACTTCTACTAATCCAAAATGACAACAGACTTGGGATATCTTCCAACAAGGACATCTATTCTACGGTCGAGATCCTGAAAGCCCTTCTGATGCTCATCATCTCGCTGAAATGGTTGCTATTATGGGACTACCACCAAAGGATATGGTGCAGAACAGCGGATATGCAACCACGTTCTTCGACGCCGAGGGTACGTATCTAGTCTGACTCGCAAATTACCTTACTGATAGTGAATTAGGGAATTGGAAGGGAGCTGTTGACATCCCTGCTATCTCTCTAGAGAAGCTTGAAGGAAATCTGCAAGGTGAATCACAGCAACTCTTCCTCCGGTTCATTCGGGAAACCCTCAAATGGAATCCCGATGAGCGGCCATCAGCAAGAGACCTTCTAGACGATCCCTGGCTACGGTCATCATAACTGTTTGATGTAATCTAGTCATGATCATAACGAGATAATAAACCTACTCCCATCCACATCTACACACACTGTCATCGCACATATAATAAACGCATTATACCATCTTAATCAACTACTTCTTTCTCTTCCCACCAAAATTGTACACGAGGCTCTTGAGCAGAGTTAAAGTCTCATTTATACATTCCTCGTTGCGGCCGCAAACCGTTTTCGATCAAAAGTACCTAATTCGACCCTTTGACCCTGCGAGTCGATAGAGAGGACTCTATTATCTGTTGAGATGGCCAGAATCCATAGATCCTGCTCACTCGAAGAAGTTTTGTCGAAGGAGGATAGCTCGTGTTTCTCTCAAAACCTTCTCCGTTATTTGCAATTGTGTCTTCCTTACGTTAATAGTTATGTAGAGAATATCCAAAGGGGGATAGACTTGCAACTTACCCTGCCATTTTTCAATTGAATCTATCTGTACTGCGTATTTTTTTTTTTTTTTTTTTTTTTTTCTCTTCACAAAAATAGAGAATTAACGGCGCGTTCATCTATCCCTTTGATCTCTGCACACGGGAAGTTAATTGACGAGATACCAATCATCTAACTGTTGGTTGTGAATGACGTACCTGCTCAGTTATGTTGCTTGAAAGATGATAATCAGCTAGTAGGTTGCGCTGGAATTGACTGAGTGCTTCAACACTGGGTAGCGCATCCCTGTGATACAAATGGTTTGCAGAGCATGCATGCACTATATGGAATTTGGCGATGTGTAGCGAGCTGAAATAGTTGCAGAAAGCCGTCAGCTGAACGGCTGATAGCTTAGCGCTTACCATCTCTCTATGCACTTCGAGCGACCATTCAGAGAGGCTTTGTCGTTGGATCGACAGCTTCTTAGTAACCGCATGCAGGAGACGAGTTAGTTAACGAACTAGATGTGCCCCATAGTCCTTAGCTGCTGTAGGCTGCTCTGCACAGTGCCAATCAGAGCCAACAATTGGTTGTCACACAATAAAACTATCTCAACATATTCAATGATCAAAAAGTGTAAATATAAGTAAGGGCGATGGTCTACTCCAGTGTGAATGGGCTTAGTACCTAGTACACCAAGAGCGAACTCACCTCCATTTCCCTCACCATGAAAAGCGTAGCCATCATTGGCGCTGGGCCTTGTGGCCTAGTAGCTCTGAAAGAAATGCTGCAAGCAGGGCTCGATGCAACTATCTATGAACGTTCCGATCAGTTGGGTGGCCTGTTCGCCACTGCAATGGCTTATCCAAACCTTCATCTCACGATCTCCAACTGGGCGATGGCTTTCTCAGACTTCCCTGATCCGTCTCGCATGCGGTACTCCACGGCTGCAGACTATTTGCTATATCTTCAGGACTATGCTCACCATTTCGGCCTTGAACGTCATATCAGTATCGCTCGGAGGTTTGTAAAGCCACTCGCGGAGATGACGGACAGTGGAGTTTGTCGATCAGACAGACGAAAGAGGATGAGAATGATGGGTCCATGCTCCACGTGCAGGCGGATGCCCTTATTGTTGCGACAGGGAATAGCCAAGTTCCGAACGGTGTGCCTTCACAGCTGGCAGGATTTAAGGACAGGATCGTCCATTCTAGCGCATACGATGAATCCTTCATGCAGGAAGTTGCGGACAAGAAGCTTAGGGGTCTGATCGTGGGAGGCGGCGAGAGCGGTGCCGTTATCTCGGCAGACCTATGTGAACAGTCGCCTAAATTGACGGTGTGGTTGCGACGTCCACCCTGCGTGGCCATGCGTTACCTTAACAGGCTTGATGAGACGCAACAAATAAAAGCCAACCAAACCATAGACTTCCCCGTCAGCATCTTCCTCGAATCCATCACTACGAATCGCTTGGGTTTCGCACAAAACGTCTATCTTTATACCGAGCTCGTACCGTCGTGCTGTTTTCTATAATGGCCTAATCCTGTCCACAAGAGAGCGCTGGTTTCTAAAAAGGTTGGCCCCAGCCTTCTTCCGCAGCGACCAATCCACGGTAATAACCAAAAGTTCGCGGTTGTGTCAGGCCTAAGACAGCGAAAAGTTAGAGGCCATAATAACCCCGTATGTCTCTGTTTGTGGGCAGACCTGTGAATTCAGCCTGCCAGACGGGACCAAGCAACGGCGCGAATTTGATGTCATCTTGCTCTGCCATGGCTTCCGAACGGAATTCCCTTGGCTTCACCTCCCTGATGGCATTCCTTTCTCGGCTAACCCACGATCCTGGTTTCTGCATTGCTTCCCCGAGGGACTGGGTGACTGTCTCTTCTTCTTGGGCTACGCACGGCCTGGCCAGGGAGGCATTCCTTCTGCGGCCGAGATGCTGAGTCGATATATCGCATTGTTGCTGCGTGGTGAAAGACAGCTTCCCGCTGATTATGCAGACCAAGCACGAAGAGATAGGGCAGCCGAGCGCGAGTATTACTGTCTAAGTCCTGATGTCAACTGGATGGTTGATTATAATGCTTTCATGGAAAGCGTGGCACGGAGGATAGGGTGTGAGACCTACATGCCACTTTCCTGCGTGATCTTTTTTTAATCTTCATATCCTGACTGTTCAGGTATCTTGTAGTAGATCTTGAGGTGAGCATCTTATATATCTCTGAACTTGTTATACATGGCTCTCAAGAAGTGTTAAAAGAAGTTCATAAAAGATTGAAGCCAGTAGAGAATTATATTATAGTATAATCTCAGGCATTAAATTCTTCCATACGCTGTTACTTTTCTTATGAGCTATCATATATCTCCTTTCTAATGCAAAACAGTAGGAGATACTGTTTAGTTTCTGTCTAATATTGCAGAACTAGATTAATTATCACATCAAAAGTCAGTGTGACCGAGTGGTTAAGGCGTCAGACCCGAAATCTGATGGGTTCGCCCGCACAGCCTGTCGCTGACGATATACAATAACTTTTTGAACTCTGTTTATCCTTTTTGATATATGTTATCATTGTAATAATAACTAACTACTTACCTTTTTGTATGTACAAGCATAGCCTCTATAGAAGCGTAGGAACAACAACCTGCACGGCAAGGCCACTAGTAAGGCCCGTTATATTCGGTGTCTTAAAGGGCATGTAAGAAAAAAATGACATAAAAAGATTATTTTTCATCGTCAGCGACAGGACCTGTGTGGGCGAACCCATCAGATTTCGAGTCTGACGCCTTAACCACTCGGCCACACTGACTTATTGCATACATTCCTTCTTCCTTTTAAGCATTAGTACATTGGTATCTGCAGACATGTTAGATTCGAAGGGAAACGTAGAAATAACAATGATATAAACCTTACGAGAGAAGTATATACATTCACTAGAGGATTTCTAGAACTGAGAAAGAAGAGAGAGCTACACACAGCAGAAATTCAGAAAAGAAACAAAAATTATGTAGAACTGGAGAATCAAACTATTTCATATATTCTCGTGATTTATTATATAGTATCCGCGGTCAAGTTTCTTTCTTTTCCTTCAGCTTCTATCATCAGTTCTCTACCAATCTGGGTTTCTTTTCCAGTAAAGCCCTCTGGCTTCTTCCTGTTAACATTGTCGGTAACTTCTGTATATGTCTCTTGCTACTGCCGCCCTCAGTCCTTGGAGCCAAGTGGGCGGCGTAATGCGGAGGGGATGTTGATGTGAATGAATGACATGATTAAGTGGGGTAAAGCAGAACCTCTCTCTGGCAGTAGTCCAAGGCAAACAACACTGGCCCCAGGCTACTTAGTACGTGCAATGAACTACTTACTAGACTGAAGTACTTCCAACTCGTCGCCTTTTGTAATTATCTTATTCGTCTAGGTGGCTAGGTACTTGACAGGAACATTCAGCGGCACATAGAAACGTCACAGGCGGCGGATAGATAAATAACCACACACCCATGATCCAGTGCCAGATAGTGAGTAGGAAACCAGAATCAGAGAGACCTTATTCTCTTATGTCCTTGACCGTCAGATTTTCCAGCAAGCTCCGCACAATTCAGACTGCATTCCCCCTGAATCAATCCTCGAAAGCCATCAATGTAAAAAACGCCTGGTCCAGAAATAAAGAAAAGTAGAGGACGGAGCTTGCTTTGAAAACCCGTACATGAAAATCCGTCAATATGCCTCTTTCTGAGCACCTTTCCAATGTGCGCGTATCTGATCGGGAAGAGTTATTGGTATATGTGTCTTCATTTGCCTGGTATAGCGCCCGATTTCGTCTATCGTAGTCCCAGGTCCGTCATTTCCACGCTGTCCGCTGAGCCCATCCAGAGGATGTTGTTACACCTATCAGCGTGTTGCGTTAGTAGATATTCTCCTAATATGCGCGCACATGTGCATCTCGGAGGAGGGGTAACGTATGCCCAGCTCCCAGCACTGGTATCAGGAACCACAGCCTCCAAGATAGCAATCGACCGAATAAACGCACCTAATCAGCACCAGACCCAATGTTCCCGTGTTCTTTCCATCGATGAACTCTTCCGTATCACGGAGCAGCACGTTCATGTACGAATCGATGCTCTCAAGCTTGCCCTTGTATTCCGTTTGACCCCACTTGAGACGGATGATGACCTCGGTACCGACTCTGCGAAAAGAATTAGAGAATGTTTTCCGGTAGAAATTGCAAGTTATGAGATGGGAGTGCGACGGGGCGATCAAGCGACAAGGGACCGGGTGCGTACCTAGCCTGAAGGAAAGGCCGGGGGTTGACAGGGTTGAACTAGATTCGCTGAGTTAGCTTACAGCCCATGACATTAAGAGTGTACGCTTAAAGATAAAGACGGATTCAATGGGATTGGGATAGGAGAGTACGAACACTCATTGTTGGTGGTCTCGAATCAATGCCAGCTGCTCAGCAGGAGATCGTAAAATATGGAAGTCGATGAGGATGGACGCGCCAAAGGAAACGAATAATGGTAGAAATAAAATATGACCGTCTCCACGTCCAGGTGAGATTGAGCTGGTCGCGTGCTGTAAAAGAGCTGGGCAGTCTATCGGAGATCGCAGAGCCAACTTGACGGAGCTGATGCCGTCCGCGAAAATGTGATGCCGCCAGACGCGGGTATCGTCCAATCAGAAGCCACACAGAGACACCGCCTTCTGAGCACTGCAATATCGCTCCGCATTTCATCAACCAGGCCATTTGTTCTTCCTCTATCGAAATTTGATAATATAATTCTTTGGTTGTAGAACTATTCGAGTATATCAGCTTCTTCTGGTAGTTGGGACTAAATTGACTGGTACTCCTTGATCCCCACATAGTGTTTTACACAGACTACTTAGCAGCATAAAAGACGTCTATAGGCTCCGATTGTCGATTACACAGGCTAAACTACACTCCATTTCTCATTAAAAGATAATACAAGGACCACTCATGATCCCTCTTTCTTACGCCCTTCCGACCTGGAAGTTGATCTCCTTAATCGAAACCTCATCTCCAGCCTTCTCATCGTAGTCATACCACTCTCCCTCCGACAAATCAATGCCGGTGAAAGGAGTAGAGGACTCGGCTCCCTTTGCTTCCCAATCACCCTGATATAAGCAGTTAGCTATGATAATCTTTTCGTAGTCCAGCCGGGGGCATTTGAAAGCACCACATTAAAAAAGATGGGAAATGTAAGAGAGGCAAGAGTTACTTACATCAGCCTTAAACTCCGTAAACTCCAATCCTCTGCAGTCGATTTCAATCACCTTCTTCGCAGTGCGCTTCTCATCCGCCTCGTAGACATTGGGGCCGGCAGTGATAGAGGCAGAGTGCGTTTTCTAGTATCAGTCAGTATTAGTTTACGTATCATCTCAGATGTTTCAGTGCTCTCGGTTGCGAGAACGAGGTTAGAAGATAAAAGTCAACCCACCTGGCACAGCTTGCATTTCCAGACAAAGTTCGCCTCGCCCCTACTACCGGGAATTTCGTGTTGTTCCTGCATATATAGTAAGCTTCCTTGTCTGAGAATCTATAGGACGGAAGAGCAAAAGCGGACTTACGAAGCGGTTGAAGCTGACCCAGTTGGGGTGGGTTTCACGGCAAGAGGTGCATTGCACTTTGAAAGTATAGTAGTAGGGCTCTTCCTCAGTGTCCTTGGGACGGAGGTCGGTGACGCTGTTTGGGGTGAAGATATGTGAGTTGGAGTTCGTTTTAGGTGAGGTGCGGGGAAGAATCTTTGCGGAGGGGAAATGGCAAGTGACTTTTGGGGGGTTTATAAAAAGTATGCATGAGTGGAAAGATCAGTTAGTAGAAAAGAGACAATACATACCCGCTGAGTTCGGCAGATAGGACGAGGGAAAGCATCTTGACTGTATTTGTTGCTTGGGCGCGTGTGTGTTGATATGGAGGAAGGAAGTTCTTCAGTGCGGGGCCGTGATGTCGGTTTCGGAAGCACACATAAAGACTCTACCGCCCTCCCGCTTGCTGCCCTTATTCACTTCAGAGCCATATTCTTGTGTTTTTTCAGAATTACCAACATTGAGGGACTCATTCCGCTTGGGACTCCGTGGTAGTTAACTATGCAGTGTTGTATAGCCAGAAAGTAAACTTAGAGACATTATATAGTACGTAATTTCTAAGTTTTAGGCAGTGACATCTATCAGACCAATACTAATGAGGATCTTGAAGCTTTAACACCAATTTGATGGTAACCTCTTTTCTCCACCATTACTAAACAGATAAGAACCCACACTACATTTAGCTAGTTATTTGGCTCTAGATCAGGGTAGTGGCCATCCTTTGCACCGTAATTTCAGTTGCACTGTATCCCAACCACTGGTGTGAAGGATGCCCTATATTCATAAACTATAAGCTAAGTGATTTTATGTGGCTCCGCTCACACCGGTGAAATACTTCATAGGTGCTATACTTCGCTGAGAATTCTGAGTCACTACTGCTACCGAGACTGCATCCAAGACTTACAGACCAGCTTCCGGACTCAGTGCTTTCACAATCGAT